CAGTAATCGGGAAGATTAGGGTTTGGAGATGTTATTTAAAGAGTATAATCCAGTGAAATAAATTTGGAAAGAGGAAAAAAGGGACATGAAGAATTCAGAAGATTAGAATTTGGGAGAACACAATGAGTGGATGCACCTGCGCCATTGCAAACGATTTTGAGCCATGTCATTCAAGGTCTCTAACCATCGGTTGCTATCATCTCTCGGTCCCCAACCAGGTAGTCTACACCTACCAACATGACTCAGTTCACTTGTCAGTGACTTCATGGATCTGTTCCATGTTTTGCTCTGGCCGCCCCTAGCTTTCTTCCAACCTACTCCTATACCACTGAACGTCGCACGTCGAGGCAGTCGGTGGTTGGGCATACGTAACACATGTCCCAGCCATCTCAACTGATGAAGTTTCACTACTTCATCAATTGATTTGCCATCCTTACCTAGTACCCGTTCCCTAACAACTGCATTACTTACTCGATGGTCCCAGGATATACGAGCAATGTTTCGAAGACACCTATGATCGAATAGCAGTAGCCTATGAATATCCTGTACTCTTACCGGCCATGTTTCACTGCCATAAAGTAGGACGGAACGAACTGCTGCGCAGTAAACACGTCCTTTGGTTGATAGACGGATATCTCGCCTATGCCATAAATGACGCAAGTTGGCAAAAGCTAGTCGAGCCTTCTGTATTCGTGCTGAGATTTCGTCACACACCAGACCACAAGGGCTGATGAGACTTCCAAGATAAGTGAAGCGGTCGACACGCTCAATTACTTCGCTCCCTATCATTAGTTCGGGTGTCGATGTAACCCAATCCTGAAGCAACATTTTGCATTTCGAGGGAGAGAATCGCATCCCGAACATGCTTGCATTGTTGCTTATAGTGATCAGAAGACTGCATTTTGTCAGCGTCTTCATTAAATAGAACTATGTCATCGGCATATTCTATGTCAACAAGTGAACCTCCTGGTAGAAGTTCAACCCCTGGAAATTTAGATGAAGAAAGTGTTATCTCCAAAAGCACGTAAACAACAGAGTTAAACAAGAATGGAGAGAGTGGACAGCCCTGACGAACACCACTTGAGGTAGTCAATTCTGATGACAGTTCGCCATAAGCTCTCACTCGACCAGTTGTGCTCGAGTAGAGAGCCTTTATAAGGTTAATGTACTTCTTTGGTACTCCTTTCAGTAACAAACACTGCCATCGAACCTCACGATCAACAGAGTCGAATGCCGCCTTAAGGTCGAGAAATACTACCATTGTGGGGCGTCTGAATGTGTGTCTATGTTCTAGAACCTGACGTAGTGTTTATATCTGATCTATACAACCACGTCCAGGTCGGAAACCAGCCTGGTTTTCTCTAGTCTGCTCTTCACGAGCTTTGATTAGGCGTCGAAGTATTATTGAAGCTAATATTTTAGACACTATATTAGTCAAACTGATTCCTCTGTGATTGTCACAAGAGGACTTTTGTCCTTTCTTATAGACTGGCACAATCAGTGATTGAGACCAATCAGATGGGATTACGTCCAGTTCCCAAATTCTACCTAAGACCTCAGTTAATCTCACTGCTAATACTGGACCACCATCCTTAAAAATGTCAGGAGTAAACCTGTCAGGGCCTGCTGCTCTCCCTCGTTTCAGATTTCCTATGGCTTTTTCAACTTCGTAAAGGGACGGAGGACTTACATTAACTTGCCACTCAGGTTGACTAGAGATCGTGGGAAACCGAAGTGTGGCTGAAGGCCAGTTGAACTGATCCCTAAAGTGTTCTGCCCAACGATTCAATCTCCTGGATTGAGAATGTATAATATGTCCATCTTTCTCTGAGAGTGTTTCGCTAACAGTCGGGTTCGTAATTCCGGTTTCCTTAACGAGTCTGAACAGTTGTCTGCTATTACCTATTGCCGCTGCCTTTTCCATCTCTCTTGCTTTCGCTACCCACCACTGTTCACGATCATTGCGTAGACTTCTTATCAGCTTGCGCCTAAGTTGACTCCGCTCTTCATTATGTTCAGAGCCAGGTGGAATGAGTTTCCGAGCATCTATCAGTGAGATAGATGCTGCTGAGATCCAGTGTTGCTCCCTAACCTTCTGGTTTTCCTTACTAGGAGATATCACTGCTGTTTCCACAGCTTTTCGGATATCATTCCATGCTGCATCGGTGTGGGCATCACATACATGGCTGCTTAACTGTTTTCCTAGTTGTTCCTGAAATATACTCTTAGCTTGACCTTTTCTAACCCCACCCCTCCTTGTGGGAAGGCAGCATCGCTGTCATGCTGGTTGTCCGAGGGAAACACCTTACTGCTGTCACACCTCTCTACAGTCAGCAGTACGACTTCGCCCTCAGACCTTGAGTTGCTGTTTTTAGTCTTACCGTTCTCCAATCGACCTGCTTGGCATGGTAGAACCTACAGGAAAATATGTTCCAGCCAATATAGCTCGGTTGGGTCATCACGATAGGCGTGCCCGACCACCGCGTCAAGGTAGCATTTCTTTTCGCATACAACTCGTCAAGTAACGTCCTGACTTGCGTTGCTCAAAGGTCGTCCATAAATTATGGTCCCACCAAAAATTACACATCTTAAGGATCTAAAAACATATTACAGCTATTGGACAGATGTATCCACCACAGTTGAAAAAATCACTTCGGAAATTACCTACTGCATATATCGTCAAGTAGAACAAGCATTATTACTATTATCATTGCAAGTAGATAAGGTACACACCACCAATCATTACAGTTACTACCAGTCATAAAATTGTTTGCAAAATAAGTTGACAGTCACGTATACGCTGTACGGTTTCTTAGGAACTCGGAAGCACGTCGTTTCCTTTATTTCACTGACTGCTGCCTTGATGAAATGAAAGGTAAGTGTCACAGAAAGCTATCTGAACTTCTTCAAAAAGCTAAACACTTAGACATAGTGCTCGTAAGTGATTTTAATGCCCAATGAAGTAGCTTAAATCAAACTGAAAGACATTTCAGTGGGTATTTTCTTATTCCGGCTCAGCGAACAGATAATAGTGATTTCTGCTGCACCTGTGCTCAGACAATAGTTTACTCATGACAAGCGCTAATTTTAAGCATGAGGAGAGACATCGTCTAAGATGGCGACATCTTGCACCATGCCAACGACCGAGAGACTTGGTGGAAGACTGCCTCTCGTTCTGGAATACATGTTTAGACTCTGATCATGCTCTAATACGGGCACACATTTGCTTGTGCCTCACTGGACACAGTAAGAAGACCTATTCGAGTTGAACTCAGTGACGAGAAAGCCAAAGGTAACTTCCAGGAACAAGTAAAGTCACACTTAAGCAGTTCTGAAAACAAGATATTGTTTGGAAAGATATACGAACAGCTGTGGAAACAGCAGCGACATCTATTAGTGACTTGAACCAAAGGGTTACGAAAAACTACTCTACTAAGTCTGATGTACTGATGGATTCTTGTAAACACATCCCATCGGGCTCTGAACACAACGAAGAGCGTAAAGAAAGAAAATTTTGTTAACCAAAAGTCTGAGGAACGACCGTGAGCAGTGGTGCGCACCGAAAGAAAACGCAGTGGCTGAAGGTAACGCAAGACAGCTCTTCAGACTAATAAAAGAAACTGGAATTAAGAAGCCAAGTGTAAGTGAGACGACACTTATCTGCTTTCAGTCCTGACTTTTAGAACGATGGGCCAAACACTGAGGAGCAGTTGAGCTACTTTGCATCTACCCACTATTTTCAAACAGCCGGAATGTAACATTGAAACAGATTCCCAACTCTAATTGAAGACGAAAACGTAATAGCTAATCTGAAACGAGGGGCAGCTAGTCCAGATGAATTAACTCCGGAAATCTTTAAGCATGGTAGTCGTTTTAACGGTTAGGTTAAGTGATATTTTAGCTAAAATCTGGGAGATGGACGTAATCACATCTCACTAGTTGTCTCAATATATAAAAAGGGGTCAAAATCATCCTATGACAACCATAGAGGGATTAGTTTGACTAACATACCATCTAAAATACTAGCCTCAATAATTATCGGGCGCCTAACTAAGACTGATGAACTGCAAACACGGAAAAACCAGGCTGGCTTTAGATCTGGTCGTGGCTGCATCGACTACATGTTCAGCATTCGTCAAATCTTAGAACACAGGCATGCTTATGGACGTCCGACAATGATAGGTTTTCTCGAGTAGAGGCAGCATTTGACTGTGTAGATCAAAAGGTTCTGTGGCAGTGTCCCATAAATACATCAATCTTGTGAGGGATCTTTACTCGAACACTAGCAGTCGAGTCAGAACTTATGGCGAACTGTCATCTGATTTTGCAACCTCAAGTGATGTGCGACAAGGCTGTTCACTACCTCTATTTTTGTTTAGTTTCATCAAACCTACTGCTGGAAATAACGTTCTCACCGTCAGAATATTCGATGACAAACCTGTTTGGTGAAGACGCTGATAGAATGTACAGTCTTTGGTAGCATTGAACAACAATACCAAGATGTTTGGAATTCATTTCTTCCCCCCTCTGAATGCAAATTGTTGCATTAATACTGGCCTGCATCAACACCTGAACTAAGAATAGGGAGTGAAGTAGTCGAACGCGTCGAAAACCTCACTTATCTTGAAGGTCTGATCAACTTTAATTGGTTGGTGTCTGACTAAATCTCTGCACGGATTCAAAAAGCTCGTTTGGCTTTTGCTAGCTTACGTTACTGATGGCGAAGTAGAAATATCCTTCTATCAATAAAAGTACGCAGTTTATTCTGTTCTACATTACGGCTGCAAAAAGTGGCAATTAAGGGTAGAGGATACTCGTAATTTGCTAGCACTTAGAAATATTGCCAGCATCTGCCGGGTAAGTAATAGTGAAGCTAGACGAAAGGTGCTAGTGATTGATGATAAAACAGTTGATGATTTTGTGGATATTCATCGACTGAGATACTCGAACCACTAATTATTTCTCCTTAAATCATATCCTTATATGTAATCTTTTTTTTTCTATATTATTACCATTGAAGTAACTGCTTCTATGAATTGGGTGTTCATCTTGTTGTGCTAATGAGGTATGACAACTTGGACCGATGTTCCTGGTCCTGCGTTGTATATGACTGACTGGCTGATCAACAACTGATGGTGTCATATAGATACAGTTTTAAGTCATACAAACCAGTCTGTCAATTAAAAGAAAACTGAAAAGTAAACATTGACGCATTCAATAATAAATAAATATTATGATCTTTTTTTCTAGGTTGCTTCATCTGTTCAAGTAAATTAGCAAAAAGCAATAATTTTAATAATAACCAAGATAAATAGGAAGTCGACAGCTGTGAGTAGATAATTATTTCTAAAAACAGTGGTTTTCATCACTTGTGCGTGAGTGCAATCAATTATCAATAAATGAATAAGGAAAATGAATCTTTTTCAGAGGAAAGACTAGGTTACAATAATAGTTAAAGAAATACTAAGAACATAAATATAAACAAAATAACCTGAAAGCAAAACGATAAAGCTAAGTGTCAATAATGGTGCTATTGTTACTGTGTGTACGTGTGTCCAGGACAGAGTTCTATGGAGAATGCTGGTGGGTGACCTATGATCCTTCACAAAGGGTAACAGGCGTAAGTGCATGTATCGATTTCTTGTGTCCATCAAGATGAAAATGTTAGACACATGAGTGAAAGAAGAATAAAACTGACAAGATAAATCATGAGTAAAGTTGTCTTAGAGATCACGATTTGATGGAAAGAAGTTATACAGAAACGACAGAGTCGAAATACGTTTAAGTAAATTCAGGATGAAGAGAAACTAAAAATGAAATAAAAAACGGCTGGCAAAAGACAAGCAAACATAATCAAAAATATAGCTGTCATAACTAATTGAAATAATATTATATTTCTATCATTGTTATTATTATTGTCTCGAGAGAAATGAAAATTAATTTTATCACCTGTGAGCAAATTGTCGGAAAATAGAGGAAAAGTAAATAAATGAATAAAAACCATCTTTGTAACTATTGCATAACACGTATATCAAAATGAATGAAAATTAAATAAGTTTAAAGCACAAAGGCCTTCATTGAATGAAATGAACAATGTCAATACAACACACAAATAACGATAACATAAACAACATTGAACTAAGTATAAACATTACTATCATTTAGACAATAGATGAATTATTTGATAAACGTTGTTGATGATTATCATAGGATTCAATTAAATGCTCTTCAAAACAAATAAATCTTGAAGGTGAATTTACATGATGTGAATTGATTAAAGGGATATAAGGAGTGTTGTTGAATGAAGATAACCGGGTAGCGGATCGATGTCTTATGCATCCGGAAATCTACAGAATAGTAGTAAGCAACAAAAAAACGGAATATTTAATGGATAGTATTACGGCAAAACATAAGATAGAAACGTATATAAACTGAATACACAACAGATATGATGATGTGATGATAGTTGTCATTACAGATTGAAGTAAAATGGAGAGAAAAACGAATTGAAAAACCAAATGTCACAGAGAACACCATACCTTTTAAGTCAAAATTCAATGGTATACACTATTAAATAATATTTAAATTCAATCCATCTTCATGAACAACAGGAAAAGAAATGAATTATTCAAAGTTTTGTCGAATTCTGACTTGAATAATGGGGAAAGAATTAAATTTGACAACTAACAATATAACAGGGAGTCTGATTTTTTACAAAAAACAAGCGTGTAATTGAGAGTTGTTCTTTTAGTACAGAATAACAATTTAAATGTAACAACTTAAATCACAATATATGTTTCCCCGGTTTCACCTTATGCCAAAATTATTTTAGTAATCTTTTTCAACTTGTGCGATCGATTTGTTTAGTGAAATCACACCACTTACATTTTTAATACGACAACTGTGATACCACTGAACAATAAAGGATTGTTAATAAAATAAAACATACTTTAACAATTTACGACGAAACATAGTATAGACAACATTATGACCAAGAAAACACGATAGAGGAATTACAATAATAACACGACAATACTACATCATTGTTACTATTTAAGTCATTGGTAAATAACGATCATTACTTACTGAGACAATAGGTTTTCGGAGACGAACACTAGATGGGTGGTATTAAGTGAAGGAAGGAGAGGATACACTTAGAAGGTGAAATAAACACAAAGACTAAAATGAAATGAAAAAATTGTAACCTGTTGATTATTCACACAAACTACTGATTAAAACGTCGTAAGTGAGAAAGAAGACTGAATAAAGCTATGTTGCAGGCTAATACTGAGGACCACCGTCTCCCCATCTTGATGGTATTAACTAGCTAACATTTTATCACATTTTCCCTTATCGACAGTAAGCTTATTTTATTTGCATATACAGTAAGCACTGTATGCAGTATCGTTTAAATCATCAACCGACCAAAATTAAACTAGGAAGCACTGGATGACCGATTCGTCTTAGTATAGGACTCCCCATCAGTGCTCACTCACTACCCTGACAATGAGAATCAAACCCAAGACCTTCAGCCCCATGTGCAGACGCTTAATCTTTAAACCACTCAACCGGTGGTGGTATTTAACGGTGGTATTTAACATGATATAAGCAAAAAGACAAACTGTTTAGTATTCTAGTAAACTAAATGTTCACAAAAAAAGATTAATCTATCACACTAACTGATCTTACCCAATATTTACTGCACCACCTGTGTTATTATTCACCTTTGGTTTTCGTGTACATACTGACCTAGAAGAAAATGAAGTATATTATCCACAATGTATAAATGTAATGTGCGTTTACATGGAGGGAAAAATTGTTGCCATATGTATGTAATTATACTAATACATATAAAAATCTATTTGAAATATTTCAATGAGTGGGAAACTGAATTTTTGACATTTCGTGAATTGTTGTAAATCAGCTTTTTAACAGAATAAATAAATGTCAGTATAGAAGTTTACGGAGATTGCTGAATATTATTGAAAACAGGAATCGACACAAGTTCGACAACCAATGCAAACCAGGAAGGACTGGACAGTTGTTTGATCCTAATGTGCGACTCCTCAGTCGTGCCCACCTACTAACCGACCGGACATAAAACTTAGGACGTCTACGTCTCGTAGCGAACGCCTAACGTTTAGGTCACTGAGTCAGCGACCAATGGTTTGCGTGTTTACCGTCAGTCAATTAATGACATTGGCTCAACCATTTTCCATTTTCGGTGAGGCAGTCGCATAGTAGGGATCCACTGCTTCCTAGTTTTCATTAATTGATTTCAGATCACAATGAACAACCGAATTAAAATTAATTTTAACTAGCATGGAGAAACAAAAAAGGTAATATGTACAATGCGAACAAAGTTTATCATGCTAATGTTACATCACTCAGGTCAAAGGTGAGACAATTTTTGTGTTTATCGATGCATATCTAGGTGGGTATGAAAAATGTAAAATTCGTAATGTGAAGATGTAGAGCTGATTTGTGTGTGTTAACAGGTGTGCCTAATTTGACTGTTTGGATAAGTACTTGAAGTTAGATGGATAATTAGGCTTTCCTTTTGATTGGGTGCAGTAGTGTTCAGCAATATACAAAACGCTTTAGCCATTCATATTTTTCGATGGTTGAAAAAAACTTGATTATTTGAATATAGACATGATGGTGGCTGACATCGGTTTGAAACTGTGTTGTCGTCTTAAATGCATAATTTAATTATGTAAAAAGGTTAATAATCAAAGTAATTCCTACTAAGATTTGAAAGACTTGGGGTTTAATCCCGTGTAAAACAACTGTTCATTTGACTTTAATTTGTCAACAGCTTTTCATCTAAGTTCAGTCCCTAATCAAAACAATCTTCAGATTACACGTTGTTACTACATATTCCAATAAACAGTAGTGAGCCGGTGGTTAACACTAGGATTTGTACTGTTCATTCCATGTCATTCAACTCCATAAGAAGGTTCGGATGATGAGCTATATCAGTTAATTAGTTAGGCATCTACAGTGTACAACCTGAAATCTATGTCCACAGCTGTTCAGGTTGCCATACCACGTTAGCACAGCGAAAATAAATTATCTCAAAATAGTAGAAACGTTTAGTGAAAAAACGTTTCAAGGAAACTTCGAGACTGGAGTTCTGAAGAAAGTCAAAGAGTGAGTGCATTTACGCAAGTTCGAACGATTCTGAGCCACTTCATTCAAAGTGTCTATTCACTGGTTATGATAGCCGTGAGGTTTCTAACCAGCTAGATTTGTTAAAATAAACGTAAGACTGCATTAACTAAAAATAAAACAAGACACTTGAATATTGATACTAAACACAAACCTGTATCGTGGATTATTACATTGACTTGATCTAGGTTTTCTAAGTTTAGGACCAGCTGAAACTCCCGCGCTATTACCATTCTTCTTTCGATTTACATACCAACGATATCGATTTTGAATTAAAAGTGCAGCTTGACATAATCGTTTATAATATGCATACTAATGAAATAGAAAAAAAGTTGAATGCTACAACTAATCATATATACAAACACGTATTAATCTTTGTAGACACCGAGCATTCAGTAGCTCTTCTCGATAAACTCAAATATTCATTAAGTTACCGGTTTGTGTTATTATTAGAGTTCCACAGGTCAGTCGTAATTCAAATAGCTAATTGCTAAAATCTCTGACTGCGGTGCTATGTGGAACTGGTTTGAATTTCTAGTGATCAGTTTTCAGAAGATCGTAGATACACCTTATTGATGTCTATCAATCAGTACGAAACCTAGATCGAGGACTTTTTACCAATTTCCTCCAGCCACATGATACTAAGAAAAATTTATCTTAATGTTAGTCAAGTTAAGTAGCTTAATTGTCATAATATAAATCTGATGAATTTTTTCCAAAATGAGTTCAAAAAAGACAAAAAACAAGAGAAATTGTCGTGTCACATTAATTTTTCTAAAGCAAAATTAACGAACATTGTGAAGTAAGGTGAATTCATTTCTATTTGTCTGTAAATCAAATGACGCGAAATAGAAGATGACACAAACATGCTATAGCATTCGTAAAGAATAATTTCTAACAAATATTCAATAATAATCGTCTCATGGAAAGTCTCCATTAAATAAGTCAATACGTTACCGATTACAATGGAAAGTAAATAAACGACAGATAAATATACTAAGTACCTGTTTATAACGTCTATAATAACTTTGAATAATAATTGCAGCCTCAATTTCTTTATTACATGGCCCACTGGATGATGAAGTGATTGATGGTTGTGGTGAATTCAATGATTGTATTGAAGTTGAGATACAATTGGAAAAGTTAGTTGTTGTTTTCAAACAACAATTGGAATTTGTTTCTCCAGGTAAAGACAATTGACCAGACTGAATAGACTGAACTTGATATGAATTATCATTATCATTGGTTATTGTATTATCGTATGATGTTTCTATTTCCACTTCAAGGCCTACAGATGTATCATTTTCGAAACCCAGTAAAACATCATTATTCCATTCTTGTTTATCAGTTAGAGAGATGACAGTATTGCTATTCTGCTGAAGTTGGTGTACAATCTGATGCGTGTTGTTAACATCACACACACTTTTTGAATAAGCATTATTATTGGATAAGGATTTATCAAAAGTACTTAAATCTGTTTCAGTAGTATAATCATGGTTTGATGAAGAGCATAAAACATGATTAGGTATAAATGTATTGGACAATTTCTTATTATTATTTTGAATAATCGCCGACCGATTGTGTTTTTTATAAGCTCGATAATATTTCTGTATAATTTTGGCTGCTTCGTATAAACGTTTCTGTTCCATATCCGATAGAGTTAATCTACTTAAGTCAGTTTCCATAAAATTTCCTGGTACTGCATTAAAATGTTCAGCAATTTGTGCTGTAGACGGTGGTGGACTATTTAAACTGAAAGCGCTTAATGATTTCCCTTGACGATCATATCGAAGTACATCAAAATCATTTTCATTATTTAAATCTGAACTCATAAAACTAGTAGAACTAAAAGGTGTATCGAACATTGAATTTGACGTGATAACTCCACTATAAATAATAAAGACATTAAAACAATTATTGGAAAATGGAGGTGGAGTGAATGCATAAAATTTTCAAAACTAATTAAAACGTTCTACAATTTCATTTTCAATTCTTTGGGAACCTACCAGTGGACATAAACTCAGAGTAATACCGAATATTGGACTACCGATTTCCAGTAACTAAGTATAATCAATTCGCATGCGAGATGAAAGGTTCAAATCTTGATTCTCTGTAACATGATTGTAGATGTGCTCTGATGAGGGGTTTCATACTAGCGCAAAACATGTCCAGTGATTTCAGGTTTTCCGTGGTGGTATAGCTGAGATCAATTCGTAATATAAACTATGAATATAGTTCAATTAGTCAACGTACGTTGCTCATCATTGGCTAGGAACAACCTATTTCAAAATCAATTGTTGAGTTAAAAGTAATGATAAGAATTGTGATAACCCTCGTATCTATGGTTTAGGTCAGAAGGCAAAGCGTAACTCGTGAGATCATTAAGACAATTTAATCCTAATTATTTATAATTAATTTAATTTTTAATACTGTTGATATTTTCGACTGAATTCGGAGTCATAAATTGGTATATATGCAGACTGCCTCAATGTGACACTTAAGCTACAACTTTTACAGATTAAATCGATTATGACTAGAAGTGGAATTGTCCTATTTGGAACTCTTCAGCTGATGTATCTGCATCCGAGTACCGATGTAAACCTTAAGGATAGAACTTGCCAAATTTCGCTTCAAACGCTCAGCGCGTTGTCCATTGAGCTACTGAGTTCAGAGAGCCGCTAGATCGTAAAGTAGGCATGAAATTTCATTTGTAATGGTTTGAATTACCCTTTAATCGATCTTATTTGATGCGTCCTAAAAAGGACAAAACCTGAGTCCTGGATTCCACAATCCATCAAGTCTATAAAGAGTGCGAACTTATCTTTTGCGTAAGATATTTTGTGCAAGCTGAAACACTCAACTATAATTTAAGACATAAACAGAAACGAATGGTTCAATTTTAATTCGGAAAAAATTGGATGTCATGCTTATCGTAGTACTGGATTCATACTCCCGATGAGTTACATACTACGGAAGTATTATTTTGAAGCTGTCTGATTTTCAATGGTTATCTAGTTTGTTAGCAAGCAATCAATAAAAAATAATATATCGTAATCATAAAATTACACGTACGTTTCATGAGAATTCAATTCATTACTGATTTCATCATCATCATTGAAAGTTTTCAATTTACTTTTATTTTTTTGAATAGGAGGAGTAAAGTATGATCTTCTTCTCAAAGGTTCATGAAAACTAAGTAAAGCACTTTTTAACTGATGATTCACTTTATTCTCTGGATAATCATCGATGCCAACACCACGATATCTAAAACTGTTATATAATGTCAAATATTTATCACGATAAGGTCGTTTCGATGGAAGTGAATTAAATGAACCAACTGATTTATTATTTTTATGATTATTACTAAATGATTTTGTTGTTATATTTGGAAAGATTTTAACTGAATATTTGTTTGTATCATCATTATTTGTTAACTGAATAGGATTAGTAATAGAATTAGTATTAGTGGCTAAAGTGAATGGTTCATAATGCAACAATGAAGAATGTGATTTGAGTTGGTCAACTGGTGCTCGACTCAAAGCAATACTTTCACCTAAAGCTGAATCAGAAAACTGGATAGAAGAAGAATGGGACTCTTCACAATTATAATCATTATCATAATCTACGTGGGTTGATAGCAGATCATCACAATTTTGATTATGAAGATTAACAATACGCCTAGGCATAGCCTAAAAGGATATTTTGAAACAGAGAAAAAATATGATGGAAAGTGTTTTAAACATAGAGAAAAAGAAATGCTAGAAGACAGAAGTAGGTAAATACTTAACATTATTCAATAGGTATATTGTAAGGATTTAAGTTCCCATCTCTGAACTTCTTGGTTGACATCAGATGACTAACCCGATAGCATAGTTGAATTTCACATTAAAAAGAATGGCTTAATGTGGGTTATATAAACTTATACTTAGTTGATAAATTGCTTTTTCGTAGATGCTAAATGGTAACCAATATATTGAATCTGGCATCGGTTTAATCTGTTGATACCACCCGTAAAAACAAGTTAAGTATATCAAATCACATCGAGGATGCGGATTTTAAATAAACCCTAAAATGTCAGTTTTTTTATTATAAATACTGTTGCTACAGTTTAAATCATAGAAAACTGAAGGGTTTGTAGTACTGAAATTCCGAAGGCAGATTAATTCAGCGCCGAAAATGTTAACAACAGAAATAAAGAAAAACGAAACCTGAGTATTATGTATTAAAATTTAGTTACTGAAGATGTATAAACACGTAAAGAACAGCTAGTACAGGTAGGTATAAACGAGTATATAGCCAATGTCATTAGAAAGATGTGACGAGGTATTTTTAACAGTCATCTAAAAACGCTTATTGAACTTGATATGTGATTTTTGAGCTCTCTAGCGATCAATGATGACTCGTAAAGCATGTCGGTACAGTTTTGGAAAGAGATCTATACCATCGCCGATTCCTCTTACTAATATTTGAAGTAGGTGAACGAGGAATTTATACTTTATATGTTCCTTTCATTTCGTTTCCAATTTTCCTATTTGATCTCACGTTATGATACTTTTAATAGTAAATATTCACACATCATTTTTATTCGTCATGAGACCTGAAGGTTCTGTAATCCTAATACGATGTGGAGTCGTCGATGTACATTTCTAATAAATCACAAACTAAAACAAAACACAATTGTCCTCATTAGTTGATACCAGTTTATAATGAAACCTATCTTTCCATTTACTAATAGACTATTTTATTCCATCATTTTTATCAGCATTGTTAATTCATACAACCCCTTTTCAATCAGTGATTTGTTAAAAGAAAAAAAATGATCTAAAGTTTTCACAGATTGAACTCATGAGTCAGTTGAAGCTAGACCACCATTGAAAATCTGGAAGCACTGGACGGCCGTCTCGTCCTGGTATGGGACTCCTCAGCAGTGCGCATCCACGATTCCGCACCACGCGGACCTACTGGCTTCGCGCGCGAGCACTTAACCATTAGACTACTGAGCCGGCATCCAACGGTGTTAATGTCTAACTTCAACCAATCCATGAAGTTGCGCTACCGCACACCATTGTCTTCAGTGAGTTCCTATCTCACAACAGACCTGGTTGAACTCCACTGGTAACGACTTCTCACTAGAACTCCAAAAGTGTCTCCTGAAGTCAGTCACTAGTGAGCAGGTGATTATTATTATCAGAATGTGTTTTGTGGAGATTTTTAGAAATTTTCACAGATTGAACTCATGAGTCAGTTGAAGCTAGACCACCAATGAAAACCTGGAAGCACTGGACGGCCGTTTCGTCCTAGTATGGGACTCCTCAGCAGTGCGCATCTACGACCCCGCACCACCCGGGGCTCGAACTCAGGAACTCACTGAAGACAATGGTGTACGGTAGCGCAACTTCATGGATTGGTTGAAGTTAGACATTAACACCATTGGATGCCGGCTCAGTGGTCTAATGGTTAAGTGCTCGCGCGCAAAGCCAGTAGGTCCTGGGTTCGAGCCCCGGGTGATGCGGGGTCGTGGATGCGCGCTGCTGAGGAGTCTCATACTAGGACGAAACGGTCGTCCAGTGCTTCCAGGTTTTCAATGGTGGTCTAGCTTCAACTGACTCATGAGTTCAATCTGTGAAAATTTCTAAAAATCTCCACAAAACACATTCTAATCTAAAGTTTGTAAATATTATTTGGAGAATTTGAATTTGAACTTGTTCTAAAGTGTTCTAGTTATTTTACAGAAATATTATCTGCAATTTAATTGAATTCACATAATCGCATTTGTTTTTTACTGAATTTATGATGGGAATGTATTGTGTGGATAGACTGTTCAATTCCAAATATTTGAAACAGTTAAAAACGATTTGGATTTATGAATAAATATGCACATTTCACAATATTTATGCGTGCATTAGCCATTAACTCACTTCCTTGTGTATCACTCTATACTACTTATTTATATTCAGTAATCCATTTCGAATTAAAAAACGTTTGGGTGTCTAATGGAAAGAATATCTATTGTCATATGATATTCTCGAGCATTGAGATCAACTGACAATATTCAATTGATTTATTACTGTGTTCACATCAGTATAATACTTATAGCTGATATTTTTAATTCTAATGTATCTATTGGACGTTCTTTTTATTGTATCGGTTCCCATATTTGAAGATCTTCATTCATGTTTCGACGTCATCTGTCATTTTAATTTTGACACATATATCAGATGTCACGTCTTACCGTACGTTGTTACAAATTTCCCTCTATATCCATTTTAAGGAGCACTTTCATGTGATTGTACACGAGCTCAGTAAAAAGTGTGGATACCGTACGAGTTTAGATTTTTAATTTATTTCATAAATAGTTTCTAAATAAAATTAACTACTCTGCAGGTAATCGCAGGTGTTGGGATGCCTCCATATTCAATGCACCACTATATTATGTATTCAGAGCTCATATAAGCACTTAACATTGAATGTAAATAGATGATAATCAACCGAAGATATAATCAGCTATTTATAGATCTTTAATTTAATAATAAACAACAAATTCCCATTAACAGATTACATCAAGTGATTTAATAAAAATGAAATCATTAGCATGAAACCCTTACCCATTGAGACATAAAATAATAAATATTGGTTCAGAGAAGAGTTCTCTTTTCGTCAAATTCATTTACAAAGCTGTACGATTGCAAATATATACTGATTTTTTTAAGGTGATAATATTTAAAATAATTTTATTATCATCATTATTGTAATTATTATCATGCTGAAAAAAGTACATATTTGCTATTGTACAGTTTTGATAAAGAATTAGCCGAAAAGAGAATTCTTCACTGAACCAAACTTTCTTATTTTATAAAACACTTACTTCAATTATTCTGTCAGCTAAACAAAACATTTGAGAATGATCATCATTCATTAAATTTGTTACACTAGCATAAAGAGAAGTTGAATCTAAACGACCATTATGACAATGATGACGTCGATTGTATGTTTGTTTACGCCAGGTACATATATTTTTACGTTTTATATTTGAATTCAAAGTAATGTCATCCTCATAAAGTTGATGATGAGTATCGAACGAATTGTTGTTATTCTCGACTGCATATTTAAAATTATCTGAATTACCTACCAACTGATTGGCTGCTGGTGTTGGTAAAGACTTTAAAATTTTTGAATGATAACTTGTACTACAGATATTATGTAACGATGTGGAGTGATAAAGTGATTCTTCTGGAATATCATCATCATCAATAGATACGTCTAGACTATAATTTCGCTTTGAATAGTCTAACTTAATCATATTCGATTGTGTATATAACAATGAGTGAGTAAATGACGATGGTTTTGTATTAACATCAATTTCCGTTAGATCAATATGATTTGGTAGTGTAAATGTTTCCGTATAATTAATAAGTCTTTCTAACTTAGTTCTAACAGTATCTGTTGCATAATTTTGTGCATTCGATGAAAAATATTGTACTTCCAATTGTTCAATACACTTTTGCATAGATTCACTTTTGATAACCAATGCTAACTAGAAAAAAAAAAATAAAAAACAGAATTTAATCCAATGAAAACAAAAACGTAATTAACACTAAAAATCATGTTGACGAGATTTGTTTTAAATCTGTTATAACGTGAAAATATAATGCTGATTACTAAGGGTAGCGAATTATTGATCGGACCAAAGACGCGCAAACACGTAGAACGACCTAGGGTTCTCGCTTCCCTGTCTAACCCAGCCAGTTGAGTCCAGAACGCAAGTTTCAGCCTCGGATATATGAATCATTATATTTCAAACATACTTTGTTTATATACCAGTCAAGCAGACCACAACGTACCATAAAATAGAAAATAACATTGTACAATAATGGCCAGCAGGAAAATAACACGTTAAATAAATATTGACCAATAAGATGATACCATTTCATGTCCAAGGATAGCATTAGGCTTAACAGGATAATTTTTGGGATATTTTCCTGAATATCCCAACAAAATCAGAAAATGAAACAAACTTATTTACTTTTTCGGTCTTCCATTTCATTTCTTTAAATAATTACCAATAACAAAGTAAAACTAACTTTATCATTATCGTGATGTTAATGAGTATAACATAATGAAATGATTTACTTGTGAAAACGACTTTACATTGATGTTTACATCTATAAGTCTATGAATTTGTTTCGTATGCATTATGAATCTTTCATAAAACAAAACATTGGACTAAGATCCATTCTTACTAATGGCTATTAATAGTAGTAGGTGAGTGTTCATAGAGTGAAATATATAAGAAGGTTACGAAACTATTAACAGCCCTGTGTGTGATTTAATGAATAACTAAACAACATTCAAATAATCAAGGTGGGTTTTTTTTACTGATTCATTAAAAATTTATAGCAACAAGACAGAATGGTGCAGAAGGGTTCAGAATTCGATATAATCTAAACTATTTCTACAATCAGATAACACAATTTGGAGTCAAAATATTATCTCCATGTGGAATCATTAATTTAAATCCATAAACTTAAAATAACGGTTTCGTTTGCCACTTTGTTTTCACAACTCAGTTTTACGTGAAATGCTTAACGTTAAATTAAAAGTTTGTTCAAGTGTTCTTGATTAAATTGATTCAAATATTAATGTTGAGAATTAACTGAACGTTGTATCAATAAAATCGTTTTTATGGCAAAGCAAGAGGAAAATAAGTAATGAGATTTATACAGCTTATATTTATCATGAGTAATTTTCATTTTATTGCACAATTTCTTGATTCCTATTACTTTTTGTTCTATGGATTACAACTACACATATAAGCGAATATTGTAAGCTTCTTCTTGTCATAAAGGCTCAAATTGCTACATCAAATTCCCATCGATTCAGTCAGATGTAAATGTTGAGATCGAACTTCATTGGGACAATGTAAAGATATTTGCTAAGATTTCATGAGTAAATTTTATTTTGTTGGACAGTTTCCTGAACATATACTATCAATTATTTAAAAACCAGTTGGAAATTCTTTATGTGTAGATCGATATTATCCCCATATTAGGTAATTCGAGGTATTTGATAAGAAATCGTGAGTCTATGTTTTGTGTCAGATGTTACTCGCCCGTAAGGCATACATCTAGGTCTTGAGAAAACTAGTAGCCCCTGCAGGATTTGAACCCACATCAAACTGCTTCAGTCTGAAATGGTGCTGCTAAGCTATTCAAGCCTATTGCGTAGCCTGCTGTTGAACTGAGGTATTTACAGTGACTAATTACTGAGTAGTGATTGATGTCATGTTTGTTTAGCTTTCTGAAGGTTGGTCGAATTATATCGAACAGTTTAAGTAACTCGATATTGAATGCACTATTTTTGATATTATTTATATATGAACATTAACTGACACGATCCAAGGTGCGTTTAACAAGGTGAAGTTGTTTCGATATTCGAATGATGACAATAAAATATACTATTTTAGAGTAGCATTTTTTTGAGTTTTTAATCGGTTAAAGAAAGCCATGTAAATGTGTTTATATTTAAAGTGACTGCAATTACTGAACCAGCAGTTACTCAATGAAATAAACAAGGAATATGATATTTCACTGAATAATAAAAGAATCCTCTTACTTTTTCTGGCGTAAACTCATCACCCAATTTTGAACACGATGATAATGAATTATATAAACAAGGTTTATGAAGAGCATCTGGATCCCATACTACTAAGAGCTTCGTTGTTACAACCTGTTCGTACAGAATAGCTGAACCCAATGGTGTGAGTGTTGGATAAGCAAGGGAGGGGGAATTATTTGGGGTCAAATCTATACCAAATGAAGTACAACAGAAAATTACTAACCATAAGAAACAATACAAATTTATGAAATAGACCAATCACTATGTATGTAACAACACATGAAACCAAGAGAAGACCTTATAAAAGGTTACGACCATGAATGAAATAATATACTTTGATTATGGCTGGTTCTGCAGTGTAATTTTAATCATTAGTCCATCCAGGATAAGAAAAAGTTCCTAATATATTGGTTCGCCGTTGATTTAAAAATTTATCGGCATATACCCTAATCAAATTATTTTAACCACTTTGAAGTTTTTATGCCAAACTAATATCGGTAGACAGACAGAAATTGGAGCATGTTACCAATCATTATATATATTGCGAACAATAACGTTTTCAATTAGGATTTCTTTGTTTTTATATGTACAGCTCTAAATGTCACTGAAAACAATTTTAACATTCTGTAAAAGACTTATACATAATACTTTTCTTAAACTATAAATGTTGCAGCTATACGCAAAGATAATATAAATGATAAGGAGTGAATATTTTATTGATCGAATAACAACATTATTAAATATACAGACTCACCATGTAAAAGAGATAAGATCCTAGATAAATCTGTATCGACATCTGACTGTAAAGTTGTACTACAGTGATCTGTAAAGAATGATGTAGGTTGATTACAATAAATTCGTACAGCCCATTGCAACAGTCCTAGTATCAGTTCAGAATAACTAAAAATGAGAAAATAAACAAACGGATTGATTGAAACTGACAAATCACTGAAAGCCTAGGCTCTCACTGTCTCTCAGCGAACAAATTACAATGATTTATCACGGAGTGAGTGAAGATAAGGATTCGCATCATTGAATTTCAACATAGTAGATTAAAGGTAAGGCACTAACAGCAAGGTCTGAAAATTCTGGCCTCGATTCACAGTGAAGTTGTGGAACCGCCCCGTAAGAAATCCTACTACTAGGATGAAATAGCTATCAATAGCTCCCTGCTTTTCAATGGTTCACTATCCAAAGATGTCCGAAACCATACCACAATTAAGTTGCTTTCTCTTTACAAGATGACAGCAAAAAATACAGAAGAATTTTTAACAATGATCTAGCTTCACAGATCAAATCGATCTAACAATTGAGCTAAGAGATTCAAGTAGTAATTAGACATGAACTATATTTAAGTTACCTATTGTTTTGCGCTCGAACAGTCATCTGTGCCCAATTTACCAAATCTACAAAATGGTAATCTAAATACGTAAATTTTTGTGTAGATGTTAGAGAATACAGTGTTTTTAAATAAAAATTACTGATAAAAATAAAATTTTGATAAAAGGATTGTTTCAATAGGTTCATTCACAAGACTACATAAGGCTACATTAGAAATAACTACTGGGGTAAATACAATTAATGTGAATATAACTGATCGACAAAGTTTATAGAAATAACAACTTAGACAAATATATTAAGAATAACATATTTTTTCTAGCCCAAACACAATGACAGCAGTCTTTTTCAAATAAGACAAAAGACGATTCAATCACAGACCACCTACAACCTTCCATAAGGTCGTCATCCTTCACAACAGTGCAGTCCAAGAAAAAAAACAAAAGAAATGAAAGCAACAGTCGTATCAATGACATTAACAGTAAAATATAGAAAATTTAGTTCGAAACTTATAAATCCTATTAACGAACAAAAAGTTTGACGTAATATTAAACCTTCGGATTTAGAAAAAAATAATGAATACAGCCAAGTCACTTATGTTTTTTCATATATTACGATTGTCCCGCGGATACAACTAGAAAGTTTGGATCTTCTAATACAACCTAAAGAATATACCAATAAAGCTATATCGTTTTCGTTTGAATGCAACAGAATTACTCCAATCTGCCCCGATCCCAGTAACGACTTCTTAGTGAAGCATAACGACCTAAGTAACTGACAACACATCCTTTAATATGCAAAGGGTAGCAGACTTGGATATTTAGCGCCACGCCTTTCATTTGGTATCATATATAAGATTCAGTCATATATTCCCAGAGCTTGATGGTATAGGGATACTTCATATTTAAATTACGATAGCTTTATAACTATTTTACTGGTGCAAACAAGATCTGTACTTTTCTTTAGATCTGAAACTTCTAATCAAATATTTTATACCCAGTCGTTTTTCATTGTGCACTTTCTCACTGTTAAATCTTTTTTTTAATACCAAACATTCACACCGATGCTCTTCAAGTACATGGTATACAAATAATTAGTGTTCAATAGTTTGAGGTATGTTCAACTAGTTTTATGACTTATGGATTGAATACTATCATTCACGACCACGGCTTAAAGTTATGTATTTAGTCTATGATTTATTCACACATGATCCGCACACGTATAAACATATTTCTTCTTTTTCAGTTATTACTATTCTCACTACATTTCACACCAATAACTCGTATTCACATTTGCACTTTAATAAGTCCCGAACTCAACAACTTAAAAATGATTGGACAATGGTTTAGCTGAACAGTTCTTTTGGAAGCCTACTCATAATCGATTATTGTGATTTATGAATATTTCTCTAGAGATGCTCGGGCCAGGTTGTTGCGAGATGTTGGAGTTATTTCAATTTCAATTTCTGAGACGTTTACGAAAACAATTTCCTTTTAACGCCTTCCATTAATTTTCAACTGACATTTTTTAAAACTATTCTTTCAAACATAGATGAAAATTCTCATAAGGCTCATGTTATTCACCCTAATAGTATCGTATTCCGAGACAAATCTCGTCTTTACTTCCAGGGTTTTACAAGTAACTAAGGTATGGTAAGAATCATAGGACGTATTCTATGATCACGATTACTTGTTATATGATTTGCCTTAACTTGATTGTAATGTTTATAAATATTCAGACTTAAGTCTAGACTTTCCATATTATACTTCTTTATTATTAAACACATTACATGATCTTAATTGTATTCAACTTTACTCAACTTAATTTTACAACTAAATATCCCTATTTTGCGAACAACTACATAATCTCATACAATTGGTTCCCTTTATGAATTTAAATAGAGCAAGAACAAACATTGATGCAGAATAGTATGAATTCATATTATTTCGAGGTTTCTCGTCAGCTGCTTACAAACCAAAATTGTGATAGAATTTTTTACATGGAGATAGTGTGAAACAATTGACATAAATGAGTGTAAATAACTTGATTACAATAATAACTATATATATATATATATATATATATATATATATATATATATATTATTATTGTAATCAAGTTATTTACAGGTCAGAGGTAATATATTTCTTTTGCGTTAAAGTCCAGTATTTATTTTTTTAAAAGATAGATGATTGCACAAATATTTCTTTGGTTTTCCTTAGTTTCAGTGATAATCATATAGAGAAACTTCCTAACAGAGTTCAAATGTACAAATCCTAACATAGTGTTAAGTGAATAAGCAATTAACATGAACGTTTTCCAAACACAAAAATCTATTCTAAAACAAAGCAACCTTAACAAAATGTAATCATGCAAAAACAACTTACCCCAAAGCAGCTGCACAACTTAAAAGAGAAATATCTATCTTCAATGAAGTCATTTGTTCTTGTAATTGTTGAATATTGAACTCATCAAATTCATTTTCAGCTTCTAATAAGTAACTGACAGAACTTTGATTTGTTCTATCACTATTATTATTACTAATATTATTTGTTTTCTTCATCCATTCAACTAGTTGTAGAATTAAATACATTTCCAATTTATCTGCACACTGATCATGTCGTAGTGGTATATTCAACTGTACAAACATGTTTTGTTTTACAAAAAAAAGAACCATTAAAGTGTTACATTGGGGTAAAGATGATAACCCAGATAAATCAATAGTTTGGTGTCAGGTGGTTGAAACTAATCGATGAGAAACTCTCAACCTAAGTTTATGTGCTAGTTGGTAATCACTACCATGGTGTTAGCAAAGGTAAGATGGCTGATGCTTCAAGAAGGACTAGGACCAGTGATCGCCTATGCTGTTGATCACAGAGGTCACCAATAAGCCATTCGGGTTGAGGTGGACTTTACAATATTGGTTATTATTTATAGATCAGTTGGTGTGAGGTTTCACTTGTACATAGTGGTTTAGTCCTTACGAATGACAGAGGTCTGTTGGTCAAATTGCGTTGTGATTACTAAGTGATACGGAAACTGCATACTTTAATAACAGAATTTATACTGAGAACATGTATAATGCACTTTTGTATAACAATAACAGGCGACCGCAATTCTAGCACAAAGACTTTTGTACAAAAAAGGATTGAATTAAAGGTGATATTAAAATAGTTCAACGGTTATACATGTAATGTTGTATGTTAAATATCTTTTAATCACTTAGATAATTTGATAGGGTGGGTGTATGAAAAACTTGTAGTTTGGCCAAAATGATAATGTAAACTAAAACATACACTGTCCAAATCATAAAACTATTATTTATGGTTAGATGGAGCTCAAATTGTCATATTTTTACAACCACGGCTTTCAATGAGGTGGTGCAAAGAAAAAAAATTTCAAAAGGAAAGCACCAATGTTTGATCTGAACAACACATACACAACGATAGATAACAGATACACAAATTGATAAATTTTAACTGATGGTAACAAAGTGAACAGTTTGCAAATTGATGCATTACGTTCCTTAAAATGAATTTTGACAAATACAAATTCATAATCTTGATTCTGCACCAAATACGACCGAGGGTGAGAAGAGTCAGCTCTCCCTAACTAAATACTCTCACATGGACACACGTATACAGCCACCACTAGAGAAGACCTACTCACTCACTCACTCACTCACTCACTCACTCACTCACTCACTCACTCACTCACTCACTCACTCACTCACTCACTCACTCACTCACTCACTCACTCACTCACTCACTCACTCACTCACTCACTCACTCACTCACTCACTCACTCACTCACTCACTCACTCACTCACTCACTCACTCACTCACTCACTCACTCACTCACTCACTCACTCACTCACTCACTCACTCACTCACTCACTCACTCACTCACTCACTCACTCACTCACTCACTCACTCACTCACTCACTCACTCACTCACTCACTCACTCACTCACTCACTCACTCACTCACTCACTCACTCACTCACTCACTCACTCACTCACTCACTCACTCACTCACTCACTCACTCACTCACTCACTCACTCACTCACTCACTCACTCACTCACTCACTCACTCACTCACTCACTCACTCACTCACTCACTCACTCACTCACTCACTCACTCACTCACTCACTCACTCACTCACTCACTCACTCACTCACTCACTCACTCACTCACTCACTCACTCACTCACTCACTCACTCACTCACTCACTCACTCACTCACTCACTCACTCACTCACTCACTCACTCACTCACTCACTCACTCACTCACTCACTCACTCACTCACTCACTCACTCACTCACTCACTCACTGACTTCTTGTGAACAGGGTGTTATTTACAAAATTGAGAGGATGAAAAGCGGATTTTCCAATGCTTTAAACGGGTTGGTGGATATGGAAGATTCACCCAGAGGAGTTGGAAAACTCTGATTTCCAAACGATGGTGAACATGTGCTCCAGGATCCTGAGGAAATAAAAGGCATACGAACCAATTGTTGGCCACCGATTACCATGAGACTGCATCTCCTTATGTTGCTCCACTGTCTTGTGCATCAGACCTTTAGGTCGAAAGCTCCAGTTGTGGTCCCGTAAAGAAACCAGGTCAATGTTTGGGCAACCGAGCAGTATCGCAGCACACACGCGCAAGTCAAGTGACTTGTGTGACGCATATGTATTCGGTGCCCCTTTGTACCAGTGTTTATGTGTTTAAATATATAAGCATAAGATCTTAAAAATTAGTCAACTATCATAGAATAGTGAATACGAAAAGATGAACCATATTAACTTAACATTATATTTCTTTGATCGTCTAGATTATTCAGTTGATATGATATAGTTCCCGAAAATTAAGAAAAATGATTCCATTGTTATCAATTATACTATTTTTCCAATTTAATTTCGATAATGCAATGAGAAGACGTAGTTTATCAGAATTATGTGATATATTTGCGCAATACATTTTGAACAATCTGATCACACATATACTTGTTTAGAACATTCATATATGAAAATTAAAAGGTCAACTAGACAGGTTAAGGGTAAGACATAACAAAGGAAAAATATTAAAGTACACAAAAAAACAAATGTGATTACCACTCTGGATAGTAAATCAGTACTACCAGGGTAGGTTAAATGTAAGCACAAATTGTTTTTGAACACATAAAGGGGGTTTCAATTTTCGTATAGCCAAGGCTTCAATAAACCTTAGTATACGTCCTTGAAGGCTTTTGTACAACACAACAAATGCTGATTTGATATCAACCTTATGACCTGTCTCAATCAAATGTTTCGCAATGGATGATGATGTCTGTCTGTCCTGTGATCTTATTTCACCATTGGAATTCATCTGATTCTGCAACCACCCTTAATTGCAAATCACGATTGCTCCTCCCTATGTACGTGTTTCCACACATACATGTAAATTGATAGACACAATGGGATGTGACACAATCGTTTTCGTGCTGTTTGGGCTTTTGGTGAAACATAGACCTTGTCTTTTCGATAATGACAAGTTGGGCTGCATAAAATGTCCGGTTGATAGCTGATTTAAGTCTCTGTTTCAACATGAGACTATTTGTGTCACCTCTGAATGGTAACGTAATATAAACTCGCTTTTTGGGTGCCAGAAGCGTCATAGGTCTAGTCATATTGCAACCCCTCCAGCGGTTTATGAACTTCGAAGAGTAACCATTATTGATTAACGCATCAGTCAAGAGCTTCATCTCTACTTCAATAGTATCACTAGTACAAATACGATTGATTCTATTGAATAAGCTCTTTATTAAACCGCGTTTATAATGAATAGGGCAGTGACTATGAAAATTAAGATATTGTCCTGTCCATGTTGGTTTACTATATATAGCACGTTTGATGGAACCATCATCTCTCCTAGTAATCAGGATGTCAAGAAAAGAGAGTTGGTTGTTCTTCTCTTCTTCACATGTAAGAGAAATGTGCTTTTGACTACTATTGAATTCTTCTAACAAGCGGTTTATGTCTTCAATTATTATGTCATCTACATATCGTTTATACAGACCCATCTTTCGAATTGAGTCTCCAACTAAATTTTCCACATATCCCATGAACACATCAGCCAGCAATGGTCCTAGAGGGCTGCCCATAGCTACACCATCTATTTGTCTGAAGTGTTCACCTTCAAATGTGAATTTTACATTATCTGTACATAATAATAATAATAAATCTTTAAGAGTTTTAACAGGAAAAGGCAGTGGAAGGTTTTTCGAAGAAATAAAGTCACACAAAATATCAATGGTTTTCCTAAGAGGTACATTTGTAAATAAAGTGTTTACATCAAAGGAGCACATTGTCTTTGTCTTTATATTTATATCCTTTAAGTAATTAATTAATTCAAATGAGTCAGTCAAAGAATACTTACAATATTGATTTCTGATAGGGTTTAATAATTTTGTAAGCCATTTTGCAAGGTTGTGTGTAGGTGACCGACACATTGATAGAATTGGACGTAGGGGGATATTAGGCTTATGAATTTTCGGTAGTCCATATAAATTAGGATATGCCGAACCCATAGGTTTTAATAAATTAAACTCATCTTTGTTGGTAGCATTCATGTTTAACAATTTCACAAGATTCGAGTTTACTTTCTTTTCTAAATTACGTAATCCATCAAAATCAACATCAGCCGAAAATTTGCTTTTATCAATGAGAATGGATTCCATGAATGCTACTAACAAAGATGAGTTTAATTTATTAAAACCTATGGGTTCGGCATATCCTAATTTATATGGACTACCGAAAATTCATAAGCCTAATATCCCCCTACGTCCAATTCTATCAATGTGTCGGTCACCTACACACAACCTTGCAAAATGGCTTACAAAATTATTAAACCCTATCAGAAATCAATATTGTAAGTATTCTTTGACTGACTCATTTGAATTAATTAATTACTTAAAGGATATAAATATAAAGACAAAGACAATGTGCTCCTTTGATGTAAACACTTTATTTACAAATGTACCTCTTAGGAAAACCATTGATATTTTGTGTGACTTTATTTCTTCGAAAAACCTTCCACTGCCTTTTCCTGTTAAAACTCTTAAAGATTTATTATTATTATTATGTACAGATAATGTAAAATTCACATTTGAAGGTGAACACTTCAGACAAATAGATGGTGTAGCTATGGGCAGCCCTCTAGGACCATTGCTGGCTGATGTGTTCATGGGATATGTGGAAAATTTAGTTGGAGACTCAATTCGAAAGATGGGTCTGTATAAACGATATGTAGATGACATAATAATTGAAGACATAAACCGCTTGTTAGAAGAATTCAATAGTAGTCAAAAGCACATTTCTCTTACATGTGAAGAAGAGAAGAACAACCAACTCTCTTTTCTTGACATCCTGATTACTAGGAGAGATGATGGTTCCATCAAACGTGCTATATATAGTAAACCAACATGGACAGGACAATATCTTAATTTTCATAGTCACTGCCCTATTCATTATAAACGCGGTTTAATAAAGAGCTTATTCAATAGAATCAATCGTATTTGTACTAGTGATACTATTGAAGTAGAGATGAAGATCTTGACTGATGCGTTAATCAATAATGGTTACTCTTTGAAGTTCATAAACCGCTGGAGGGGTTGCAATATGACTAGACCTATGACGCTACTGGCACCCAAAAAGCGAGTTTATATTACGTTACCATTCAGAGGTGACACAAATAGTCTCATGTTGAAACAGAGACTTAAATCAGCTATCAACCGGACATTTTATGCAGCCCAACTTGTCATTATCGAAAAGACAAGGTCTATGTTTCACCAAAAGCCCAAACAGCACGAAAACGATTGTGTCACATCCCATTGTGTCTATCAATTTACATGTATGTGTGGAAACACGTACATAGGGAGGAGCAATCGTGATTTGCAATTAAGGGTGGTTGCAGAATCAGATGAATTCCAATGGTGAAATAAGATCACAGGATAGACAGACATCATCATCCATTGCGAAACATTTGATTGAGACGGGTCATAAGGTTAATATCAAATCAGCATTTGTTGTGTTGTACAAAAGCCTTCAAGGACGTATACTAAGGTTTATTGAAGCCTTGGCTATACGAAAATTGAAACCCCCTTTATGTGTTCAAAAACAATTTGTGCTTACATTTAACCTACCCTGGTAGTACTGATTTACTATCCAGAGTGGTAATCACATTTGTTTTTTTGTGTACTTTAATATTTTTCCTTTGTTATGTCTTACCCTTAACCTGTCTAGTTGACCTTTTAATTTTCATATATAAATGTTCTTAACAAGTATATGTGTGATCAGATTGTTCAAAATGTATTGCGCAAATATATCACATAATTCTGATAAACTACGTCTTCTCATTGCATTATCGAAATTTATCAAAGGGGCTAGTTGTTTTAAATTTAATTTATTTAAATACCAATTAACTAACCTTAGGATATTCATCAAAGTTACTTGTTAAATAATTTATAAGCATTGAATTCGAAACATTGTCAGAATGTATATCATCCATATGTTTCGACGTAATTAATGTACTATTATAATTAGATTCATCGAATGACTTGCTAAATATTCTAGATTTATGATTTGGTAATAAAATGAATTCATCTTCAATGTCAATGGATAAATGAATACCCGGTGCTAATGAACTAAAGCGAATAAACACTATCCAACGTAATAGATCATCTGGTTAATAAAACGGAAAAATAAAAGCAAATAAAAATTGATAAACTAGTCTCCTATAAAATAAAATCAGTAATCGTTATTTTATGAATGGTTATGCAGAGAATGATTATTGCTTTTCTTCAGTGAGTAACTGCTTCACACCAAACACAGTTGAACTCCACGAGACATAGCTTCTCACTAGAACTCCAAGAAAATCCATCTTGAAGCTATTATTACTTTGTCAAAAGGATGCAACAGTTGTTATTTGGTAACTACTGAGAACTGTTTTAACTTATCTGAGTCAATAATAGTAAGAAGATCGGTGTCAATGAGACAATTCGTCAACTAGTAATCTATAAAGGTGTCAGGGACATTGGATTGAACAGTTTGAGAACCAAATTAAGTAGATTGTTTCACAACAGATTAATCCGTTCATTTCTTCAAACCTGATAACTACTGGTCTACTTAGCATACTGAAAGTCTAGAAGAAACCCAGCACGCAGGTTTCATTCTATTTGGGACGCGTCAGCTAGATGTATTGGCTATCTGGATTTAGTAGCTAGGCGGACAACGCGATGAAGTTTGGAGTGAACATTACTGGGTTCAAGTCTCAGAGTAGACACCAACTCTAGGATGCAGGTACATCCATCTGACGAGTCCCAAATAGGACGAGAAGCGCGTCTTGAATTTCACTGCTGGCCACCATCCATCTTTGCCTAAAAAGAGATGGCTGTTCTTTTATGAGCAGCACTGAATGAAAATCAACATAAAAAGTAGTTACTAACCTGAGAGCTTTAATTTGAGCAAATCTATATTATTGCACCGACCAAAACTGTACTCTGAGTATCCTCCATCAGATATGAATGGATTACAAGCAGCATCATTTTGCTGGCAATTAAATTGTGCGCTTTCAAAACTCTAAAATAAAACAATGAGTAAAGATGTAATAATATATAATAACATCGTTGACTGTTATACAGCCAAACTGTATTGATCAGAAAGACAAGACAGTTGATATCCACTTGTTGAAAATCCATTGAAAAAAATGTAAACCTGGAGAATCAATTATTGAACTAGGAATTAGTGAACAGTTATTCTATTTTAGTTTGAGACTTTATTTCATGAAATCAAGTGAATAGGACATTGGATAAAGGGATATATTATATAACAAACAGATTACGGTTTAAAATGAAGACTATTGTCTTAAAAGGAAGATATTTGACAAGTATTACAAGTTATTATTATTATTACTATTATTATCATTAGCTTTATTCAATATTATATTTTTAGTACGATATAGAATTCTCAGCGCAAAGTATTTCAACAAGTTTCCGTTTCTTTCTTCTTGTTTACAATTTTAAAACCAGGTTGAAATGGATAGGTAGTAATTTCATGTTTTAAATGCTCCTCTTTAGGAAATTATTGGTACTTGGTGGAAATTATCATTAAATTATCAGAAATCTCAATAAAACAAATGCATTTATTCATATTTTACTAAGATATTCGATAGATATTCTAAAGTAGTTTTGTTGCATTGTCCTTTTGTAGTCATTATCACACGTTTTATTTTGACTCATGTACTGTTGTGTATTTCGACGTTCGAATGTATAAGAATGACAGTCTTTTCAAATTAAATTCTGTTCATTAAACAGAACATGTGACTTTGATCGTGTAGTATTCATTCATAGATAATTTGGGCAGATTTGTCTCATGAGAATATTGACTAAGTGTCATTGATTAAACCATAAGTAATGTGAACATATTTCTAGATTATAAAATGAGAATTAACTAGTTTCTAAGCCAGTGTAAACAACTTTATTTAACAATGAACTGATACATGAAATTCAAACTGTTTCACTGATAGTGTTGTTACTCATTGAAGTGAATCAAACTAACACTAATATAACCAGTAATGAATGGTAAAGGAGTAGTAATACATCTCACCGATTAGATTATACTAACCTATTTACCAGTACATCATTTAAATACTTTGAGAATAGGTTGTAGCAACACGAGACGTTCTAGTTCCCATTTGATTGTTTTAATTAACTAACTTGAACGAGGTTGATGTCCAGTGCTACTTAACTTTTATTAGTCAGTTTGTGATGGAAAACAATCATTAAAATACTGAAAAAATAAATCAAATAGATATAATTTCAACGAAGCTATAATTCATATTAAGACATCTGTTCATAGTGTTCTTAAACCAAGAAAACACTTATATCAACCCACTCTTAAAAATGTAAACAACTCAGAACTAATAATTTCTAAATAAAAGATCAAAATAAAATGTCACTGACATTACGTATGTACTATGAAAAGAATAAACCCAAATATTTACTGATTTTCTGGATAAACTGAATAATTCAGTAAACAATGAAAAAAATCAGTTTCAGTGCATGAAATTAGAAATGATTAGTAGGTTATAGTGCGTATGTGAGTATTTTTGGAAGAGAGATAGAGAGACGTGAAAAGACAACATACTAGCACGTACACATACACGCAAGTAAGATTACATAGAGAAAAGAGCATTTATGAATACTGATTACGAGAATAAAAGGCTTAGGGAAGAATAACGATCAACTCTGGGACGAGTGTACATCCAGCTGACAAGTCTCAAATAGAACGAAACGCGCGTCTTACATTCCACTGCTAACCACCATCCATCTCTGCCTATAATGCTTGTGACTTAAGGCAATATCGAGGCAATCCGCTCAGAATGCAAATATGCTAATAAGAGACAAATCAATTGCAGTCCTAAACATCAATGGGAAGTTTCAAACGGCCAACACAAGGTGAAGAATGATAATCATTTAAAAACTTACCAAACAAAAAGAAACGACAAAGAACTTAAGTGTAAAAACCAGTAGGATACAAAATATTTTAGAAAAATGCTGTGTATTAGAGGGCAGTTTCTGTTTAGTTGAAGAAATCTATGAACCATAAGCATCTGTCTCTCTGATATGACTGAAGTTGGAAATGTAGATCGCTGTATAAAACTTTCAGTAGTTATTATCAGGTCTGATCTTCACGGGTACAGTTATGTGTGAAATCAAGTCTTTTCATTGATGACAGGCTTTAGATTGTAACGCATTGACAACCTAGTTTTCAGTGATTTTTGCATCTATCATTATCAACCAGAAGTCATAACAATATACCTGAAACATTCCAGATTTTTTCTTTGGGCTGAATATCAGTTAGTTAAAACTGGCAAATTTACACAAACAAGCATAGAAATTATCAGGAAGATAGAGATGGTTATTTTTTTCACCAAAGAAGAATTTTCGGTCTTATGCATATTTGATTAGAAAATGATGTCTACTAATTCATTATTATGATAAACGTACAGGAAACAAAAAGATTATTTTTTGCCGAATACAGTTTGATGTAATATTCAATACCTATACGAAAAGGTATACATAAATCTGAATTTGTATTTTATGAATAACGATAGTTTACTTATGTTACGACAACAACACAATTTGGGGACACTGAATAAATACAAAATATAACAGAACCTTTCAGCGTTATATATATATATATATATATATATATATATATATATATATATATATATATATATATATATATATATATATATATATATATATATATATATATATATAAAACAGTTTATTCTGCTACACATATTAGTAAAATTAAATCATGATACAAAAGCGAAAAACTAAAAGTGTTTTATTGACTGAAAGGGATGAAATATATTACAATTTTTTGGTGTAAAAATCTGTTAAACAATTTGTTCTATGACCGTAAGAATATTTAATCTGTTGTTGGTGGATTGAAACTAAAATAACAAATAGCTCTCACGAATGTATATTTTGGAAAAGAGTAACGACCTCATAGTTAAAGCACTTACCTTTCAATTAGTAGATCACAGGTTCAAATCTCCAATAGCCTATTTCGACTTGAAAAAGCGATTGGCATTATTTATTATTTATTTTAACACATAGATATTGGTACAAGGAGGCACCAAATACATATGCGCCACACAAATCTCATTCGATATGTGTGAGGGCTGGGAAACTGCCCGAGTGCCAAAACCGAAGCACGTGGTTTTCTTAGGGGGCCACTCCCCGAGCCTTCGACCTGAAGGTTTGATCCACAAGGCAGTGGAGCATCGTAAGGAGATGCAGTCTCATTGGAGCCGGTGACCAACCATTGGTTCATACGTCATTTGTTCCCGCAGGATACTGGAGCCCATGTGCACCGTTGGTTTGGAATCCTGTTAAAGCGCTGGACATTCGCTTTTCGTCCTCCCATTTTCGTAAACAACACCCCCGCCACGAGAAGGCAATGAGTAGGACTTCCCTGGCAGAAGCTATATACGCGTGGTCATGTGAGAGCATTTCGAGAGGGAGAGCAGACTCTCCCCACTCTCAGCCGTACCAGGGCATTTTGGGGCGATTAGTATTATTAGTCTGCATACAACTTAAGTGGCTTATATCTGAGTATATAAATTTGTACTTGATAAATGAATAAATTATTAATATTTTGGGGAATGTTAGTCACAGCTCTGTTGGTTTATTCAGTCTATTCAGAATAAGAATTTAATGGTTTACATATAGAAAATAGAATATTATATAATACTTCAACTCTCTTTGGAGCCTTTCTGGGGCTACTGCCAATCCAAAGCCCGGATAAAGTAGGAGGGTTGGGCATGGGGTTAGCGACCCCATTCCTTAGAAAACTAAGTTTCTAAAAATGCTAACCAGAAAAATTTGATTTAAACTATCCACGATAACAAACTCATCTCATGAACCTTCTACATCATTACTTCTTTGTTATTCAAATAACTAAAAAGTTCTTTTACAATGAAATTATTGATTATTATGTGATCTTAAGTTTTATACTTGTATAATTATGTTATTTAATAAGTCAATCAAAAATTTTACTTGGATAAATAATAAATGTCATTATATACAATCTACATGAAATCAATTCATCAGTAATTCTATATTATAAAATTTTTTTATTAAAAATCGAATTAGTGAACAAACTTGAAATTTAATTAATTAAATGAAATTGTGTTGTCATAAGGAAACATCATTCAATTTATTTGATTATCTGTAAATGATACTCAGATATTAAAATGTTTCATGAGTTTTAACTTAAAGTTTAAAAATAAAAAAACAAAACAGTGTAAACATTTTTTTCTTTTAGGTTAAAAAAAACCATTATGTGTGTCATTAACAATAATGGAATTATATAATCATGAAAGAATACTAATTCAGTGACTGTATTAAAAAGATAGGAATCTAGTTGAATAACTATCAAATGATGAAACTGATAAGTATCAACTTATTTAATTGGATCAAGTATTTAAATTAATAAAAATGTATAGATTTAAAAACAATAAGAGCATGTTGTATTCATGCTGGTGAGTTATATTAGTAAATGATTGTAGTATTGTTCATGTTTTTAAATTAATGATACAGTTAAATAAAAGAGCCGCAGCCTAATAATGATTAGAGCGCTTTACTGTTGACTACTAGTTAGTACATTGGAATTCCAGTTTTCTCTAAATTAGCGGTATTATTAGCCTATATGAGAAGAGCATGGATTGAAGTCAAATGAAAAAATCTGTGTTTAATTATGATTTACTTGAACACATAAATATTGGTACAAAGGAGCACCGAATACATATGCGTCACACAAGTCAGTTGATTTGTGTGTGGGGGCTGTGATACTGCTCGGGTGCCAAAACCTACAGTTGGTTTCTTTACGGGACCACAACTGGAGCTTTTGACCTAAAGGTCTAATGCACAAGACAGTGGAGCAACATAAGGAGATGCAGTCTCACGGTAGCCGGTGGCACCCGGGCAGTATCACAGCCTACACACAAGTCGAGTGACTTGTGTGGCGCATATGTATTCGGTACCCTTTTGTACCAATATTTATGTGTTCAAATAAAATAAATAATCGGTGGCCAACAATTGGTTCGTACGCCTTTTATTTCCTCAGGATCCTGGAGCACATGTTCACCATCGTTTGGAAATCAGAGTTTTCCAACTCCTCTGGGTGAATCTTCCATATCCACCAACCCGGTTAAAGCATTGGAAAATTCGCTTTTCATCCTCTCAATTTTGTAAATAACACCCTGTTCACAAGAAGTCAGTGAGTGAGTGAGTGAGTGAGTGAGTGAGTGAGTGAGTGAGTGAGTGAGTAGGTCTTCTCTAGTGGTGGCTGTATACGTGTGTCCATGTGAGAGTATTTGGATAGGGAGAGCTAACTCTTCCCACACTCGGCCGTACCAGAGCATTAAATAACAAAAACTATCCACTTTGCCTTGGTCTGCACTCTTACTTGGAAAAAAATTATAAAACAATCATGAAAAACCCGGAATATCATGCAAAAAGTGTATTTCATTGAGTTTTAATAACGAACAAGCAAAATGATATCAACAAAGAAGACTTAGTACTCGAAGATTGATCAATTTTCAAAGTTGAACAAAAATAGGAGTAAGAAATTGTTGGCGATCCTCTCTTAGTGAATCTCATGTCAGCCAACGAGTTGATAATAAAACTTATATTAACCTTAGGAATGAAAATATCATTCTTTTGAGTTCAATAGTTTGTTAATGAAGCAAAATGTATGATGCTTTTAAAATTATATTAAGAAAAATTAGCAACCGAGATCTTAGAACATGAATACACCAGTATATTAAGTAATTGATTAAACCACCAGATAATCCATACATAAGGTAGTATGTAAACTTACTGCGAGATAAAATATTTACTCTGTCACTTACTTCGTTTTTTTCAGGTTCATACACATTTGTTATCAGAGGTAAACGATGATTGGCTGAGTAGATACTAAATCGTGAAATGAAGAAAAGCCAAAAAAGGAATAAGGGATCTTAAGTGTATACTTAAAAATTTCGAATAATATAAGAAGGAAGATGAATACGTTTGTAGTAGCAACGATCTCTTTTCGAAATATTTAATGAATAAAACTAATAACAGACCGATAGTACAGTTGCATTCCCGTTTTATCGATTCATGTCAATCGATGATTCTATGCTGCAAGATATGACGTCGGCTGGAACAGGATGGATTGAATAGATATTTCTCACTAGTTTGTAACTCGGTGGGAGCTTCAAGATCTTAGCGTTAAACATTTGAAAAGATAATTTTTTAATCATTAGACCATCTCGAACTCAAACGAAGAACAATCCAGTACAGTGAGATTTGCAAAAGTTATTGGATTAATGTCAATTTACAAATGGAAACTATCTTACGAGTAATTTATATCGCCAAAAACACCAACGTATGTGACAAGAATAATAGTAATTCATAATTGACGCTGGTGGTGGATTGTGTGATGTTTGGGATGTGAACCATTTGATTTCGAGACACGGTGGTTTAAAGTTAACGTGGAAGTTATGGTACAAGATGTTGGATTTGATCTCTTAAGGCTATATTTTCATGGATATGTACAACTAATAAGTCCCAAACTAGAATGAAACAATCCCCCATTATTCCTTGGGTTTTTAATAGTTCACCAGTGTTCATGTCAATACTCAGAATCCTAAGACACAAACATAACCAACACGACTCACTCGTAGAACAAGATTCACATCTATCTGAAGTAATGTAATGATGTTATTTAGAATACAAAATGAAACAAAGGCTTCTAATTAAACTATTCAACTTAGTTAATTCAATAATTCATTATTGTTAAAGTATACAAAAAAAGACAACAACAAAAATCAAGTTACTTACTTCTTACAAGTTTCAAGATTCAAATTCTCATCAATTTCACTGAAAGGATTATTGAACCGATTGTTTTTTATCACTTCTTTATCGATATTAACATGATTAATTTGTACAGCATATCTACCATTATTAGTTATTGTATGAACATTGAAATTACTAGACGACAACTCACTGGAAACATGTTCTTTTGAAAAGAATTTATGATTAGATTGATGCTGTTCTGTTACACAGCAACAATCATTACAGTCATTATTGATTATTTTGCTAGTGGGTCTTATTGCAGTTGTTGTGGTTGTTATCGCTGTAAAATCATTTCCAAGTAGATTATTATCAGTAATTAATTCATTTGATAAAAGTCCTAAGTCTTCATCAGTATAAGTTGAGATAAATGGTGAAGGTGTTGATGTTGTGATGATTAAATCAGTGAAATTTATTAATTCATCAGAATAACCTATTTCAATGGGTGTTATTCTAGTTGGATCTTCTACTACTACTACTTGTTCTTCTTCATTAATATGAAAATAATCATTATTACCATTATTAGCAGTAGTAGTAGAAGTAGTGGTGATGTTGTCATTGGAATGTGTGCTACCATCAGTATTAACATACTGATGATTATGATTAACATCATCGACATTTTGATGATCAGGACTATCATTTGACTCGATGCTTTTTGTTGTATTAAAATTTTCAAAGTTATTCATTGTTAGTGATAATGAATAGGGATAATCATTAGCCCAATTAATTACAACATCAGATAGCAAATTATTAGATTCTACACTACTATTATTATTATTATCATTAGGAAACAATAACTGGTTCACAGAAGAACTTGCCTCTACTTCTCTGTCTGGATTACTATCATTATTGTTTGAGTTAATATTGTTGTTATTATCATAATTCGACTGTTATTTTTTAAAAAAAAAGATGGTAAATAATTAATAATGACAATATATATATCCTTAAAACAAAATAAGCTGATTATACAATAATAATAATAATAATAATAATAATAATAATAATAATAATAATAATAATAATAATAATAATAATAATAATAATAATAATAATAATAATAAAGAGGAAGAATGTATTTGAATATATTTTCCTTGAAAAAGCTTGAACCAGATTGCCAGGCGAAACGTTCTTTCGCTGAGATTTTACAAATACATTCTTCCTCTTTAATGACTCACATTAACTCGGCGCCCAAATATTGTGAAACTATTCGTTTAAATTTAGACGAAAATTCTTATTTAATAATCATAATAATATATGTATAGACAAATTAATTATTTACCAAATATTCCACTGTAAGATGATAATTGATCATAATTTATAAGAAAGGAATAAAAATAAAACAATTCAATGTATGAACAGTGAGTTAATGTTAAATATGATGTAATTTTTTCTTTCAAAAATGAGAAAACAGAAACTTACAGTTTCATTGTTTTGACAATATCTATTTATTGGTTTTGAAGAAGAGAATATGAATGGAATGTAATCATCATTATTTTCATTATTATTGTTATTAATTATATCTGATAACATGAAATACAATAAAAAACGAAAAAAAAAGAAAAAAAGGAAAGAAGACAAATGCTTCATTTAAGAGAAAGTCATTATATCAAATTAACTTTTGAAAATCCTGTTTACTGTGTTTTTTTGAAAATATCTCCTTTTCTCATTAGATATATAAAATCTCATCAACATAGAAATGAATGTATCGATAGAAAAATATGCCATATTTAAATTATGAGATAAATGTTATTCAATTAGTCAATAGTATAATATCACTCATATTAGGTTTTTAATCATAAATATTCAATGACAGGTAAGTAGACAAACGATCCAATGACTGAGATAATAAAGTAGATGGAAGAGAGAGAGATGATCAAGCAATTTAAATATTTTGATTAAGAATATTAGGTGACAAGTTATAATTCCCTATATCTATGTCAACTGGACAAAATCACTAAGCAAAATTGCACATTTAAGTCAAATCAACCAATAAAAGCTTGATTAAGGAGGTGTATTGTACCATTGTTATAGGTCATTATTGATTAATGGGACCCTATGAATAATCACATTTTAACTCACTCGATACACGAGCAACTATCCAAAGATATACGTAATCAAATACTAGTAAAACACTTTCATAGTAATCAAGCAAACAAAGAGGAAAAATGCGCAGTATACTCGCCTTTGGTAAGCAGACGGACATCTATCTTAGACCATATACTGAACAAGTCGGAAAAAGTCGAATGAGCTTTCTCTTTTGTACTAAGACTGTCAGCTATTGCTTCTAATTTAGCCGATCAGACTTTTAAGATATATGAAAAATCAACACACTTGAATACTTAACTCCCTGTATTCAAATAAGGCATTGATTCAAACCAGTTCTAAAGTAACTATACATTTGAGGAGATTAAAACACATCTCATTGTGCATTTACTCAGTGTTCAAAAGATTGGTAGTTGTATGACGAAATTAAATAGTGATGCAGAAAATGAGCAACCGTGATTGCTACTAAATCATGCAACCAAACACACACACACACAACCAATTTATCCAGATCCACTAGATGGATCATTCAATCTTTTAAATACATTTAACACTCTTATGCCAAATAGAAATGCTTTACATAAGAGTATGCTTAAACCTGCTTTATTAACTAATTTAATTCCCTCCCCTTAAAAATAACCTTCCATTATAATCATTCTTTATCTTGAAAAGTTACATTATAATCGCAAAGATTTACCTTATTCATTTCTAACTTTTTTTAACCGCTAATTTTAACTTCGATAATTAACTAACTATAAAGTGAATTATTTCATAATTTTAAATAGGATGATACGCATTATGCTGATAACATATCCAGGTTAGAAACAACTCCATATTTTTTGCCTTTAAATATAAACATTTTCACTTAATAGGCAACGATGGAACAAAAATGGAGAATAAAAATCAAAACTGGTTAGAAGACAAAAAAACATGTACACAATGAGCATAATAAGGGATTGTTGAATGAATATGATTCATTATTGATTTTCATCATTAAAATGATCAGTTTGTATTATCTAATCAATGATAATCATAATCAAAAACAAAGTGAAAATAATGAATAATCATTTTTTTATAAATCAAAATTTTGGATGGATAAAATCCAAACTGAAATAAAATTCCACGATTTGATTTAATGTAAAATCATTAATTAAGTACTAATTTCTGTAATTGACTAATAATGCTCACAGATCATTTCGGTTGAATTAGATAAACTAGTATTCAAATATGAAACCTACTGAATAAAATAACTAAAAAGTACATGAAATGCAATAAAATTTCAGTCAGAAACAATGTAGTACAAAGCACTGTTGTGTGTTGTCTTGTTTGATGGGAAAATCAAACACGAAAAGTAGATCATGAATCAATCTAAGTTAGACCACTATTAAAAACTTGAAAATATTGGACGGATGTTCCATCCTAGTGTGGGACTCCTCAATAGTGTGAATTCACACCGCCACAAGCGGGATTCCAACTTAAGTCCTTCAATCATCTGTGAATAGAAATCTCCGGAGGTCTAATGAAAAGCCGTGATCAATAGAACTAAACTGTGTCGAGTGTAGAGACAGTTACTCACCATCGAAGATAGTTGGACAATGTCTTGGACTGATTAAAGTTAGACATTAACACTGTTGGATGCCGGTTAAGGGGTTTAGAAGTTTAACGTTCGCGCGCGAGACTGGAGGTCTTGAGTTTGACTCCCGTGTGCGGAGGCATGGATTTACACTTCTGAGTCCTATACTAAGACAAAACGGCCGTCCAGCGCTTTAAGGTTTTCAACGGTGGTCTAACTTAGATCAGTTCAGGATTCCAGTGAGATTCAACAATCCCCATAACCTCATACTAACGAAAATGGGATTAATGATAGTAAATATTAATGGTAGTGATAGCTTTAAAGTATTTTAAAAACATGGATTTACATTGAGTAAAACAGATATCAAGTATTAACAGTGATATATAGATTGGACAAGGGTGTGCATCAAGTTAACAATACTATAATTGTGGGAAAAATTGAAGTTAAATGATAATTGTCTGATAAAACACTATTTATTAAGAAATCTCTTCAGTGTAACTACGAATTACCTACCTGAAAACTGATATCCGCGAATATTTCGCGTATGAGGATTCGTTCGACAAGACTTGTTATTCGAAAAGACTAATTCCAAATTTGTCTGATAATTATCATTTAATTTGGGTGTGATAAGGAGAAATACAGCTGTGTGCGGATGATGATGACGATGATTTATATCAGATTGTAGTGAAGACATACTCTTCACAACACTGCTACACGTTATGTTTCTATATGAATTATCAGACAGAAATGATAATGACGATGATGGAGGGGAATTCGGATTCACTGATGAATTCCAAATACGATCACTCAGAATCTGAATTAAATTAGAGAAATTTAACTGGAAAAAACAAAAAAGTAAAGTTTATTGACTATAAAGACATTTTTACACTGAAAAATATTGATATTAGCATAATGAATATAAAATTAGGTTTGTAGAAATTTCAGCCAAAATGAAATTAAACAATTTCAACTATTCACCAAACAGTTTGATTTGAACTTTTATGATTCTTTTCATGATGATGATGATCATCATCATCAACACTAACATCGTCATTGATTGAAAGAAAGCCCAGAAAGTTCATAAAATCTAGTTTATAAGGAATAGTATCTTAAAAAAGTGATTCATACCGCCTATAAAATGTTCCTAATATAATTCATTTTGTGATGTTTAAACTTTGTATACAACTACAATGTAATATTATCAATATAGGAAAAAACTGAATAAATAGATTAGGTTATGTAAACATTGAAGCGACTCATTTACGAAGTACACGGATTTATATACTCGGTTGTGAGTTACATTACAGGTATGAAGGCTTTCGAGATTAACCGGTTACCCGAATCGAAGTATGGCAGAGTTTAAGCCAGTAGTCTAAAATTTGGAATTGGACTGATGAAATCACTAACTTTAAAACATGTATTTTTATTGTCTTATTCAACCGATTATCATCTTCCTAGTATGGAACTCCTTGGCAGCATACACACTCTTGCGATAACAGTAACTGTCAATTTTACATTAAATGATCGTAGCGCCATATTGCGAATCGACTAAAGATGGAAATGTGTAATATCTGAACCAAAACCAATAGTCCAAATGATAAACACTCCCGAAGATACCTAAACGTTATAGGATCAACTTCCAGTAGGGTTATGGGTGGGCACTGGTGAGAAATTCCATATCAAGAAAAATTATCTGTCTAGTTTTCCCTCGTTATCAATGATAATCCAGCTGAGAAAAATTCGTGAAGATACACCACTGACAGATTCGAACCGTTCCCACAAAACCAGTTCAAGAATAAAAATGACAGGATATTTTAAAAATGAAAAAATTAATAATAAAGGGAAACTAATAAAAACCAAGTGGATTTTTGTTGTCAGTGGACAGAATGACAAAAAAAGATAATAAAAGTTAGTGTATGAGCAAAAAAGGAGAATAGATATTTTTAGTATATGGTAGTTGACAATTTTCCTAGACGTACAAAAAAAACATTTGTGATTTTAGGATTGTAATGAAAGAGATGACGTCCAATCTTCTCTTTTTAGTGAATTTCTTCTCGGTAATATAAATGATTTTGAGATTTAAAAAACTTTGCTAGAATACAATGATTAATGTTAACTAAAATTTTAGAATAGAAGATTTTATGGTAAACATATTACTTTATTTTTTACAATCTCAATAGATAAGTGAAATTGTGCAGAAATGTAAATCAATATACCTAATTCTGTAAGATCAAATGAATGATGTTACATACATACATTGAGTTGTTCAGTGAAAAGGTATCCTCCATTTTACTGTTTCTTTAAAAACAAGGAAACAAAAAGTATCATTCCCATCACTGATTTAGGAAAAAGGATAGTTTGATAAACTTGAAAATGAACTTTAAAAAACTAACCACTGGATCAATAAACAAGTACACATTTATGTAGAACAATGGTTTCAGTGTAAGTCATTTGTCTGATAAGTGAATCGAAAGCCAGGAAAAACTTCTGGTGGAGTTGTATTCTTTGAGCTTCATTGTCTTTCTAGACAAAATTATCAGCACCAACTTCAAATAAAAGACAGGTGTGATTAGTTTACATTAATTCCGATCGACTTTCATTTGTTACTCACATAGACATACTTATCGACGTCCGACAATGGTGGTATTTCTTGACTGAAAAGCAGCATTTGACTCGGTAGACCGCGAGATTCTGGGGCAGTGTCTGTCATTAAAAGGCGTACTTCAGAAGTACATAAACCTTGTGAAGGCTCTTTACTCGAAAACTACCAGTCGAGTCAGAGCTTATGGCGAACTGTCATCTACTTTTGCAACCTCAAGTGGTGTCCGTCAAGGCTGCCCACTTTCTCTTTTTTTGTTTAACTTCATCATAGACCTACTAATGGAAATAAAATTCTCGTCGACTGACTTCTCGGGCATTGATCTCCTTCCAGGAGGTCCACTTATCGGCTTAGAATACGCAGATGACATAGTCCTGTTTGGTGAAGACGCTGATAAAATACAGAGTCTTTTGGTAGCACTAAGCAACAAAGGCTGAATGTTTGGAATGCGCTTTTCTCCCTCTAAATGCAAGTTGTTGCTTCAGGACTGGTCTGCGTCAACACCTGAACTAAGGATAGGGAGTGAAGTAGTCGAACACGTCGACAACTTCACTTATCTTGGAAGTCTGATCAGCCCTAATGGGTTGGTGTCTGACGAAATCTCAGCACGGATTCGAAAAGCTCGTTTGGCTTTTGCCAACTTACGTCACCTATGGCGAAGGCGAGATATCCGTCTATCAATAAAGGGACGAGTATACTGCGCGGCAGTCCGTTCTGTTTTAATTTACGGCAGCGAAACATGGCCATTAAGAGTAGAGGATACTCACTCGTAAGCTACTAGTATTTGACCACAGATGCCTTAGAAATATTGCTGGCGTCTGCTGGGATCACCGGGTAAGTAATAGTGAGGTTAGACGCAAAGTATTAGGGAATAATGGTAAATCAGTTGATGAGGTTGTGAATCTTCAACGACTGAGATGGTTGGGACACGTGGTACGTATGCCCGAACGCCGATTACCACGACGTGCAATGTTAACCGGTGTTGGGGATGGTTGTAAGAAAGTTAGGGGCTGACAAACCAAAACGTGGCATCAGTGCTTGAAGTCACTAACTTCTAGTCTGAGCCATGTTGGTAGATGCAGACTACTTGGTTGGGGTCCGCGTGACTATCGTAACCAATGGGTGGAGACTCTTGGTGACATGGCTCAGAATCGATCACAATGGCGTCGGTGTATACACTCTTTGTCTTCCTGTAAACTATGGGATTAAAATCGCTTCATATCTTTCTTTCTATGAACTAATTGTTTCTTCCTGTGCTACATCCTTATATGCGATCTTTCTTTTATATATTACCACCTCTGAATTAACTGCTTTTATGAATCCGGTGTCCATCTTGTTGTGTTATTGAGGTATTGCAACTTCGACCGATGCATATATGTGCCTGGTCCTACGTATAGCTGACTGATAGTTACTCACATCGTTTAATCCTTTCTTTTTGAAATATTCTGTCAAGTTCTTTCCATGGATTTTGAAACCTAGATGAAGCGATTTTGTGGAGACTGTTTTAATCTGTAAGTAGTATATGTTCACCCATTGATATCAACTAGGATACCACTTAAAACCAGGAGGACAGGTTTCTATGAAAAGTTTGTGATGATGTCGTCTAGAAAGACAATTAACGTGTCAAGATTAAATAATCCAGAATAGACAATAGAACTCTACCAGGATTATCCTCCTAAGCTACAAATCCTCTTCACTGTCCCTAGGAAAGACTTTCAAGAGATTGGTTGGATGTCAAGGGGTGCTTACAAAAATAATGCATCAAAGAAAAAACCTCTTTCCAACAAAATCAAGTTATTTAGAGAAGTTAATAAAGACCAGAACAAAAGTAGACCCTCTAGTACTGATTAAAACATACTTTTTGTGACCTAGTTGTCTATCCACTGTCCTAATGATCGGTGAGATACTGAAATTAAGAAAATAGTCTATGTGCACCACTGTGAAAAGACATGACAATATGGAGCAGCTGTAAAACGAGAATTTTGGGATGTCTTAAACAACAGAAGCAGAGCCGAGACAACTGTATTGTGAATAAGATTGATGTGTTTTGAAGTTTGTGAAATAAAGTGTCTATGACTTCAGTTCGATTATTTATTGGACTTCCTAAGCATATACCAGTAGTCTACAAAAAATACGGTCGCAAGTAACGCTCAGAAAAGCTAAGTTTAAAAATATTTTCTCATTTTATCTGAAGTAGATATTTTTGATAAATTGGAAAGCAAATAATTTTATTCTATGGCTGAATTTGATGTTACGATTAAGAGTAAGACAGTGAGATGTTTTGCAATGTGAATTAGTGTACAAAATCGCAGAGATCTAATAATCATGTAACTATGTTGTTCAATCCTGTAGACAGATATATATTTATATGATTAATTGAATAAATATAATGTAATTTTGTAAAACAATCACATAAGTGATAACTTACATCGAAATTTAGAATTTGGTCAACACCAGGCTTCATGATATGTTTTGGGAAATTATTAACTATAAAAAAGCAATATAAAAATAAATTCAGTAAGGGGAAACATAGTTAAGTGCTTATGTTCAATATTTTTAACTACCGTATTATCGGGTTTGAATAATACTTCATCTATCAGGGTGTAAGCACAATCGTATAGCAGTACCATCAGTCTTCAACATAGTTTAGTTTACAGATTACTATATTATTATAATTAGTACAACTTAATCATTTGAAAAAATTGAAAATGGATTTATTCTGAGAAACCCTAGGGCATCGGAAATTACAGAACTATTTTCATCTTTTGAAATAGTTTAGAAACATAAATATCCCAACTTATAATCAATAAGGTACGAATCTGGTAGGCAAACTAGTTTATGATATGTTAACAACCTGAATTCAAAAAGTAACACAAATACAAATTTGATGGTTTTTCATTCACTGAGCTCTGTGGTTTAACTGAAAAGATTTCATTGTCGACGTAGACGACATTTCCAACTTCTACTACAAATAGATATGAACACTGATATAATTATTCAACAAGCATATCAAATCAAAGCCCAGACAACGTAACACTATCAAATGGATCCATTTAAGCTTTTGAACATTTTAAGAGCTTGAAACAAAAGTAAAACATTTTAGTAATTTGTATTGTTTAACAATCTTATTAGTCGGTATTTAATCATTTTATCAGAAATTAACGTGAAAATGCTTATCATTTTAAGGATATAAAAATCGATTGAAGCGAATATCCCTATTCTAATTTTTCCTTAGTTTGATATAATTCCAAAGAAATTCATAATATAAAAATATCCCATACGTGCACAAGATTAAATTATCCTAGTAGGATGTGCTGTAAGCTATAAAAGAGAAAACAAACAGTATCTCCAGAGCTGGTTTCCAGTAAGGAATGTCGTCATTGATTAAAGCATTACCATGTACCCATAGTTTGTTACTACTTCTCATTAGTACACAACCACGATACCAAAGAAAACATGAAATGTCAGCTTAGAATCACTGTTATGATCAGTCCCCGATTACTATATGTATATTCTATGAGCAAGCCGAAAAACAGCCCCACACAAATTCAAAGTTATTGAATCATTTTGCCCACAATTATCTGGAAAATAAATCTCATCATATTCGTTACGTCGTAGATGGTAGTCGTCACGGATTGACCGCAGTTAGTGCATCAATGAGAATCAAGAAGCATCCGATAGATATTTAGTTCTAGTATAAAAGCCGTCAGGAGTGTGGACCCATTATCCAGTCAGAGATCGAATCTATATCTCACATCAAGCACTTAACATTTTACAAAGTGTCCTAACCAAGTTTTCTGAATATGAAATGTATACTTATTTGATTTTCACCGATATTACACATTTATTTAAAAATAAAAATACCCAAAGGTTATTCACTTGACCTGAAGAAAATAAATACTGGGATTTTTATTGCGAAAATATTTTAAAGTACAAACGTCTAACTATTTAAATTGTTTAATCATTTAGTGAAATGAAATAACACAATGATTATTATTTACTGAATAATTCTACTATATAATATTAAAACAAATACAAGTCAAATAATTAATATATATTGCACGATTCCTTTTTTGGGAATCGATTAATGAGCTAGAGTGCATACAATGGATTACAAAAATAGTTGTTCAAACATGATACACATGTGGTGTATGCCACTTATGTTGACAGATATAAGTAGAATATAACACAGCTCAGAAGTGGAATGCCTATCAAAAGAAGGTTGAGAAGATTGAACTGAAGAAAAAAGAAAAAGAAACATAAAGGAATCGAGAATTGAAAGAATCATGAAGGATGTAAACGACAACTAATGGAAGATGTGCAAATGAAATATTTAATTTACGAAGACACCCTGTAAATATAAAATGGTTGTCCGCACCATGTCTTCGTTCATTACACATATATGAACTATAATGCTTTGATATTTTAATTTATATCAAACTATAAAAAATATGGCTACACAATCATGCTTAAATATAACAAGGATCAAATTTGTACAGCCTTAGATTTTATGAAGAGGAAGAGATAGATTAATTTTAAAGGAGTGAAAGAAACATACAAATGGATCGATAAAAAAAAAAGAATTTCAAAGATAAATAAGTTATATCAATATTATTAATGTTTAATTTATAGAGATAATCAATAGAATAGAATTTTTAATCGGATTGAATTGGTAACGTTGTACAACAGTTAATGGAACCAATAACAATCATTTTTATTAATCTTGACTATTCATGATATAAAAACAAAATTACAAAGAGAATAAATAAATCCGTTAATTAAACTTACACATATTCACTAACTGTTCAACAAGTTGAGCATAAGTTAATTCACTACGATCATTTTCACTTAGATTAGGTAATGGTAAACAAAGTTTATTCTCATGAGTTAATAAGGGTACATTCAAATAATGAAATAATACAATAGAAGGATTCTATGGAAAAAAAAACACAGCAAAAACATTGATTTATTAATTAAAATCAGTAGTAACAATAGCCAGTGAACAAGTAGATTCAATGAAAATTGATGTTTTTTTAGGAGAAAATGGCTATATTTCTGTATTACATACTGACTAAATCACTAAATTAATCATTATTATGTCTAAAACCAATCAATAAAATGAATTTTCATCGACTGAGGTGGTTGAAAAATGTATGATGTGTATCATTTACTGTTTCACTGAGCTATGTTAGTAGATGCAGATTATCTGATTGGGGTCCGCGCGATTACTGTGACCAATGGTTGGAGACGTTGCGTTATGAAGCTAAAAATCGATCGCAGTGGTGGAGATGCACTCATTCTTCGGCTTCCATTAGATTTTGAGCTGGAAAATTATCACCCATTGTTTTGTGACCTTTATTTCCATTTATAAATATTCACTAGTTAACTGACAAGTAATTTATCAAACTATTGTGATTGAATATGTTGAGCATGAATTACAGCTTAAATTCACTTATAAAGGAGCAGTGTATCAGTGGTGATGGTGTACGAATTTCAACGGGTTTGAATCCCTCCCCAATTAATTTGGTCTAAGTAATCGAGTATTAGTACTAACCCTCAGATCAGGAGTGTGGTTCGAAGTCATGTACATTAATCAGTACCTGGTAAATGGGCTGAGCATATATATATATACATCGATTAGTGATTTTGTGTTTTGTAAACTAAATAATTGGAAATCAGTCAGACAATAACAACGTACAACTTCGTACGTACGTACATCAGTTCGAGTAGTTTACACCTACCAACATGACTCAGTCCACTTGTCAGTGACTTTGTGGATTTGTGCCACGCTTCAATCTGGCCGCTTTTAGCTTTCTTCCAACCTACTCCTACACCATAAAACATCGCACGTCGGGGCAGTGGGTGGTTGGGAATACGTAACACGTCCCAGCCATCTAAACTGATGAAGTTTTACTACTTCGTCAATTTATTTAATTGGGAATCGGAAAATCGATTTCGTGAGCACATCATTAGTTTCGCTATACCAGTAATTATAATATTTTATCAAGTCAACAATGTCGTAAAAACGATCTGTTTATAACATACCATGAAAGTTATTACAACGGTTGAAAAATAATGCTTTTAAATGAAAAACCGGAATAAATTATTATTAATTAACGTGTGCATGTAAAATAAATATACACCGGTAATATGATATTCAATCGGATAAAAATGGATTATAACTTACAAATCTTAATGAATAGGTTCGTCGATGAAACGTAGAGATTAAAGCGGAATGTGCATAGTTGGCGATAATACACTGGAAAATATACCGAATGAGAGAGAAAAACATTATTATCAATTAGTGAATCAAAGTAAAAACACTTGGAATAACACACGTTTCTACTTTAATTGACAGATTCCGTAAAAAAAATTACATGATCAATAAAAATAGGATATAGTACAACAAATAGGTACAATATTAATGCAACATTTATAATGACAACTAACTCTGTAAATTATCAGTCATCCTTAATTCCTAGGAAAAGTATCCAGAAGATAAGAATAACGTGGAAAATACTTATCAATTAGACGTCCTAAGAATCTTCTAAAAAACTTATAAAGCAGTTCTTTAGGCTTTTATTTAGTCTAAATGAATAATTTGAAAACTTGTTAACAATTTTATTATCCTTTCTAAAAACCTCTCGAATCGCCAGGTCCCCTTCAGTTTTATATATACTCCTGTTTTCTGTACAGAAACTATCCTCGAAGTAGGCCTGGTTAAATATTCCTCTCCTCCCATTTTTTATTCAGAGTTCAAGTGTCGAAGAAATAGGTCAGCAATGGACATACGAATGATAGCATTTGTAACGTCAGCTGCTGTGAAACTGGTGTGAATACTAAAAGTAAATCTGGGATTCAATTTTTTTAATTAGAACGCAATTATACACATCTTCATTCCGTATGTATCCGTGCAATCATACATGAAACTTGTGAAACTGGTGTGAATACTAAGAGTAAATCTGGGAATCAATTTTTTTAATTAGAACGCATTTATACACATCTTCATTCCGTATGTATCCGTGCAATCATACATGAAACTTATCATGTTAGCATAACATTTGTAAATATGAAATAAATCCTCCTATGAGCTAAAAACATTTCTTATCATAAGAAATACATTTTGCACATATTTCCTAAATCTGATTGAAACTTGCTAGGATAATCCATTAAGCGTTCCATGATGTTGGAAAATGTCTTTAAACTACATTTAGTCAAACAGTCATCTGGAAAAGTCATTACACTGACCTCGATCCCTTGAACTTTAAGGACCATGTGAACTTCTTTAGTAGTACGTCGATTTGGTTTCTTTTTCCATAGATAACCATCTTGTTTACGTGCTACGGTGGCCAATTCTCGTCGATAAAAAATAATAGAACCATTTCTAGGACTGTTTGAAAATATTTCAATGAATAATAGTAAAAAGAATCTAAAAGACATGAAGCAATATGAAATTACTAATATTAAAATTTTCTAACAGCCTGATTATCCTTATAGATCGAAGTGCATTCTTCAGTAGTCTACAGGATATATCTATAAATGCCTATGAAAAGGCGACAGAACGTGTATACGTATTTCGAAAGTAAAAATGAATGAAAAACGAGTAATGCATTTGTGTTTTTAGGCACAGTTTCCCCTTAAAAATAAAGGAAAATAAGTGATTAACAACATTAACCAGTATTTTAGCTAAATTTTGGAAAGGTCCTTTCTTCCTTCCTTCACATATCAAATAAAGTAACGACTAAGATGGATTCGATTCGACAAAGCTCAGAACTTATGTTTACGTATGATGGAAAATATGAGGCAGGTCAAACTGTTCCAGTTCTAATTTGTAATAAAACCCTTTCTGCATGACAGTAATATAATTGAATATTCGACTATAATTCAGTCAGTAATCTAAGAGTCATGGCTACAACATGATTTTTTTCAAATTAACTCCCTAATGATTTGAATACTGAACAATAACATTTCTCAAATGTGTTTAAAATGGTGAATAATGAGGTGTTAGGTTGTCAGATGGCTGGAAGAAATCAGTAGAAAGTCTTATATTAGTTAGTACTGGTTAGAAAAACAAATACACAAACTTTGGATAAATAATGCTTTTTGTGGAATTTGAATCTATACACCTAAGCAGAAAGATTGAATTGTGATTAATAATATAAGCTTGTGCGACTACAGAGTATTGTCCCTGCTTACATAATATATGCAGATGACATACTTAAACGGATCTTATTTCATTGAGTAGAATTTATTAACATTATAAAAGTACTTACCGAACTTGAATAACTGATGAAAGCCAGTTGGGGTGTACACATGCCCCTAGCAAAAGCTCAGCAACTTCCTTTTAATTAAAAAAAAGGATTATTCGAAAATGAAACGTTTTAAAGACAGTAAACAATTTTTACACATAACCATATCCTCAAAACACACGAAAACAATTCTTTAGTATAACACGTAATTAACTAACTGCTTTCGTTTCTTTTAAAAAAAAACAATATTTGACAATAGACGTGTTATAATCACAGAAGAGGTGGTTATGAATGCTTAAATAATAATAATAATAATAATAATAATAATAATAATAATAATAATAATATTATTATTATTATTATTATTATTATTATTATTATTATTATTATTATTTACTCAATACTATATTTCGGTACAATATAGAATTCTCGGCACAGATGAAAATATTTATTATCATCCACAAATTGTGGTTTCTTTAAATAATAAATCATCAGTCTGGCATTTGTTCTTTGAAAACATAAACTTGTTAACTGTGACAAGAGCAGTTTGTTATACTGATAAAACTATGATGGTATAAATTTGACATTCCAAATGTAGGGAAACTTCACGTTGATCTGATCGAAAATCACCTTAAAAAGTGACCACCTGTCCATTGAACAACCTCGTAAGCCAAGCTTGTATCTGGCAAAATTACACATTCCATCGAAATAAAAAAGGTTCGCGAACACTAAACAATCAGGATTATCACACTTAACAATTAAGTATATAAGTAATTAGCTTTGTAATTAAATTAAATTCCACATACCTTTTGATTGCACCAAATAAGTTTACGTGCGATACAAACTGACGGAATCACAAGATTGCTTAAAGGTTGTGGAATATCGGATGAACATTGATTAAATGCTAAAACGTTATTATTACTATTACTGCTGTTATTGTCACCATGATGTGTAGTGTTAATAGCAGAAACACTACTTTTATGAATGTTATTATAACTGATTGGCAGATAATCTGGTGAAAATTCACTAGATTGACTTTTCATGTGGAAAAATCCATTTTTTACAATAAAAATGTAATCCAATCGTTTCTCCAGGTGAATAAATAGATTGATAGCGATAAGTAAATAAACGATAGTCACAAAAATATGTGACCATATATAGCACCTATGGGTAATGATCCCAACGAATATTGAACCAAATCTAGGACTAGAAAATAACAATAATAATGGCTGAATTGAATTGTAAGTAAACATAAACTATAAAAATGGGCCAAAAGAACTTAACGAACAACAAATTACATAGTTCAATACTGAAATACACATTTACTTTAATTAAAAGAACTGGACATCTGATTCATCTTTCTAAGGTGATTCTTACGAATACTATATACGATAATAAAAAACATACAAAATAAACAATACCATACATCGTTACTTACATGTCCTAATATAAAGTCTGGAATCGGTTCACTTAGAAAGCCTACGTTTGTACTACCGAAGAATTTGGCAGTAGAGTACTATAACCAAAGATGGTTGCGTAGGTTAAGTGAAATCAACAATGGGAATAAGATTTATCTCTATCCACTAATATTACTTTTAATGAAATATTGACTTAAAATAGTAACAGCTTCAAATTGTAAGAGAGGTTATAAACAGACAACATTAAGAGCGGTCAAAACTCACTGCAGTACACAAACTATACGAAAAAATCGAGAAACTCAAGTTATCGGTCCTCCCTAGAAATGGCTATCCCAGGAATTTCGTCAAAATATATCCGGTGAATCGACATATCGTAGAGAAATCAACACAGAAATACAAGAAACATGTCGAAACGACAATAATTCCGAAACCTTCCCAACCAGTATCTCTCACAAACCAACGCGATTACTCCAGTCCCATTCATGCAGACTGGAAAAGCGCGATATCAGTCATTTAGTTATATGTGATATAAAGACGACATCAAAAGAAGACAAATCCAACATTTCCAAAACAAATTGCGCCAACAGTAAGGAACACCATCCAGGACATACATAACACGCCTTTACTTACACAAACACGAACATTATTTAGTGGTGAAGCGATGTGTTGTGAAGACTAAAATCAATACACATAGACAACCATGAACACGTACTTGACTAAAATGTCGTAAATACGGATCAATAGAGTTCTGAGAAAATGAGTTTCTTGAAGCACGATAGTTAGGTTAGTTGGCAGCCGACAGGCACCGATGAGGATCCAATCTATCAAAGTCCAACTGAACAAGACAATCAATAGAAATGCAAGGACATGTGAAAATACCAATTCATAAACAACGGCATCAGAATAAACTTATTTAGTATTGGCGGAACAAATGAAAAGTCTTGATGATGTTGCTTAGAACGATAAAAAAACTTAACATTTAAAGTATTTATCTACGAAAACATAACGTCAATAAAAAAATCCACTTGAGCTCCATCGTTTTAATATCTGAGATTGTTATTTCGTAATTTTTAATATTTTTTTATAATCCCCAGACGATAAAAAGTTTGTAAAAATGCTTGGGATGTGTAAATGTAGAAAAGATCTCTATATCCAAAAAGCAGTAGCCGTTGTAGATTATATCGGCCAAGAGTTTAATAAACAGAGCCTGGAAATTCGTCACTGAACCAAGTAACAAAGGAACTGAAATGAATTTAGTTATATCCACTTTGATGAGGTGAAATAAAATACTAATCATTATCTGGAGTACTACAAATGTAAGTACTTATCATTAAATAAATGACAATATGAGCATCAAGAAAAAGGGTTTGCTGGGGAGTCTTATTTTTGTGGGTATTACAATGCTCCCTATTATAATCATTTGGCAGTCGGTAGATGGTCATCATTAACCTGGGGTTTGGCATAAGTGTACGTCACACCACTTTACCATACTGTATTAGCATGAGATGAAATTAACAAGATGAGTATCATAGGAATCAAAATAATGTAGTACTGGGAGACTAAACATTGAGAATGATTCAAAAATAAAGAACTAAAAGGCATATACATAAAAAAATCTCGGGACTAAAGATCTGGAGGAAGATAAAGGGTGAATGGGTTGTGTGGTCATGGACGATTCTAAGGGAATTCACCTAACGTCTTCAACTACTGATCACAGTTAACTCATGGACCCCAAGAAAGTAGTCTGCAACTACCTACATGCCTCAAATCAACAGTCATAGACTTTATTTCTTGATTTAGTCACCCTTAGCTTTCTACTAACCTACTCATAAATCAGCTAACATCCATTGTCGAAGCAGGTGGTGCGTAAAGAATACGTAATATATGTACTAACCACTTCAGTCGATGAAGATTTATAACTTGGACGACTAATTCGAGTAGACAGCCTTTAAATGTATTTGTGAGACTTTTCAATAACAAAAATTGCCGTAAAACCATCTGGTCAACGAAATTGAACGATACCTTAACGTCGAAAAGTACAACTAAAGTGGGGAGTTGGTAAATAAACTTATTTTCTAAAATCGGATGGAGAACAAAACTTTTGTCAATGTATCCACGTTCATGTCTGAAACCAGATTGCTCTTCCCAGGGTCGTTCTTCACGAGCGCTAGTTGAGCGTCTGCTAATCATGCAGACTAGTATTTCAGATATTATACTGGTCAAACTGATTCCTATATGATTGTTATGAGACGATTTCTGCACTCTTTTAAAAACTGGGACGATCAGTCATCGATACCAGTTAAATAGGATTACATCTATTTCCCGAAATCTAGCTATTATCTTAGACATCTTATTCGCTACAACTGGAAAACCACCTGTGAATATCTCTGGAGTTAATCCATCATGGTACACTGCTCTCTTCAGCTTTAAAATGGATATAGCCTTTTCAATCTCATTAAGAGTTGAAGGACTTGTGTCGATTTCCCATTCAAGTTGTTTGAAGATATCGGGTTACTGGAGGCTAGTTGGACTGTTCCTCAAAGTGTTTTCCTCATAGGTTTAATCTCCTGGACAGGGAGTAAAGAAGAACCGTCTTTTTCCGATAGTCCTAATACCTGTTTTCTTGATCAATCGGAATAGTTGTCTAATATTATGTATAGTTGTAGTGAACAAGAACACGGGTGGGGACAATCGATTGTATTTAGCACAAAAATTACAGACTATCTCAATAAAATGTGAACACCATAAAGTCAATCGTCAATTTGCAAAATAAAATTCCATCACATCAAACTGTACTGTTCCCGTTGCAAACACTAATCCATTGTCTCCCATTCCATTGTACATGCGTTTACTTACAATTCCATTGTGCTCTTGCTCTTCCTTTCTTGATCTTCGCCATCTTCTGCTGCCGGACATTACGTTCTTTTAACGCACGTTATATACTACTTATATAAGTAGCTCACACCACATAGTCCCTTCCTTTTCTATCCCTTTTGGATTCATCATTCACTACTGACCGCGATAATCTGTAAAACGTCTTGTTAGTTTACGCTTAAGTTATCGCCACTCTTCGTTTTTCTTCGAGCCTAGCTAGGTTAGTTTTCGAACATCTATCAATTCAGTAGGTGATACTAAAGTCCAAAGATCTTTCGCAAGCTTTTAATATGAGCTGTTGGTAGATGCCACTGCTATCTTTACAGCTAGATGTACATTTACCCTAGCTTTTTCAGGATGAACCGTTTTTCTACGATCGACTAGATGCTAAGCGAATTCTTTCCTGAATGCATCCCTGACCTTCACATTTCTGGATTGATATCTGAAGGATCTTTCTGTTTTGACTTGCCTATATCCAGCAAAAATGCATAGAAATACGTATTTTGGCTATGGCATGATCGGAGTCTATCTAGATACTGTAGGAGTGAAAATCTACAAAGCCTGTCCAAAGACGGTTGATAGCAATCGAATGCGTCCACTGATGTGCTAATATTTCGGGCTTCCAGATGAAATAATATCTCCCTCTATGCCAAAGGCTTGTACTTGCTAGGAATAATAGATTATCTGAGGATAATTGCAGCAGATGGTCATCATTACTTGCTTACTGACCGCGAACACTATGAGACCAAACTAATCATTTTTTCAGTATGACATGAACGTTAAAATCATTTGCTAAGATCACCAATTCCGAGAGCCTAGTTTTTCTGTAGGTTCTAATGCTTTTTGGTAAAACTCACTTATTGCAGTCGGTGGGGACACAGACAGAGATGATAAAGAGGTAATGACATGTCTCTGTCTTTTCAAGTTTTCACCGTACTATTTGCCACAGACGGAGTATAAGCGACTATCAACAGGGATCTAGATAGGACGTATTTTTTCTGTCCTCAGACTTGATGCTATATTTGCACTATCAAGGCCACGAGAAATTTTTGTCACGTCTTCAGATACAAGAAGGGTATATTGTGTTGGCTTTTTATATTAACTAAACTAGGTTAAGTGAAGGACCACACTACGATAGGTGTCTTAAAGACGAAGCATATATCAATTTTTGAACCCTAAAAAATATAGCTTGTAGTGGTCAGGATACAGTAATGTCTGATCGACTGAGACAAAATAGCGGGAAACAGCTTCTGGAGCTTTCAATTTGTGCTCACATTCGCTCAGCCTTCAAATAATCCTCTATTTCTAATGCTCACTACTTATGCATTTATTCGGAAATCATCAAACGAACTATCTCAAACTATTGAAACCTGCAAAATTTTGTCTTAATATTCACGAAAAATCAATATGAGAACTCGCTACAGTAACTGCTTTATTGCTTACTGTTTACAGGCTTTCATACATATAAAAAGCATTGATATAGAGCACGTAACAGACCTATAAAAGCTTCGAAGATGATATACAAAGTTCCAATCCCTGAAGGAAATTGTGATAACGCAAAATCCTAATTAGGTCTGAAAAATATTATGAAGACTTTGGAAATCGAAAGCAAATCTAATAATAAAAGAGCTTATAGGCCGAACGTTCTATGTATGATTAAAGTAAAGTTCGAGGATACTGACACAAACACTTGCGTATCGATAGTAGAAATTTTGTGCTGTTCCTTCTGGTAAACATGATATGAGCAAAACTTATTATACAGTCCTAAACAGATATACGCCTGGAAATCACTTCTTTCGTGTAAGCTGAGAGTCCGAGGTGTCTAGCCTTAAGACAAAGAAGACTTGTAGGCGGGAAGTTCACATGAATGCTTCCAGTTGTTACGTACGATTAACATAACCATAGTACGACGGGAAATAGATACAACTTAATGCCATTTTTTGAGAGATCGTGATCTTAGGAACTACCTAAAAACGTAGATACTTGCAAGTAATATGCTGAATGCTAAATATACAGAACTGACAATAGTTAAATTGGTTACGTGCTTAGACAACCTGGCAACTAAAAGCACTTTAAACCTGCTAACAATTTGAGAGGGTCCTTTAACATTGATTTTTAAAATACGATATTGGATAATTACCCAACCTCATATTACTGGATAAGACGATGATGGTGTGAGAACGGTAGTAGAAAATTTTTACAAAGTTTATCTTATCTTTATTACTATTTTTAATAATGACATATTTGATCTGCCACATTGAAGATGATTATTCACCACTGGAAACACCCGAAATACCGGATAACACCTACGAATTCGGCAACAAAATACCAACATAAAATAGGAGTTTTTCGGTCTAATACCGAGTTAAAACCTATTAAAACTGATCATGGAATATGACACGTCTGAAAGTTACTGGAACAACATACTAACGCTATCATCAGTTTGAACAACAGACTTTGGGCCACCAGGGTGTTTTACTCCAGAAATCAATGGCCTGGGTAAAAGGAACGACTATTAAAATTTAGATACTCACCTGACTAACTTGATAAATAGAAGTGCAAAAAGAACCAACAAATTTTACACCGCCCAGCAAGAATTAAAAGACAAAACACATATTCACAGACACCAAACAGAACGAAAAGTTCGAAGAAACATAAAAGCAATTATAGCCATGAGGGGAAGAAAAGAAAACGAGTCAACTGCAGTAACGCAACGAGTAGCGAGTACACTGAATACAGCGGTTTTATTGTGCAAATATTTTAAAGTGTACGCTCAAAAAGTACTACCAAATTTGTTTTTAGGTAAAACGTCTATATATGTTGTATCGTCTCCTACGTCTTAGCCCACCCAATGGTTTCTTTCTTCTTGGCCAATAGTGTAGGTCTGAATCAACTGGATCATAGTAATCATAAGGATCAGGTTGATAGGCGTCCCCATATGGCTGGTTAACTCCATCATCACCATATTTGTACAGAGGTGGAATTTCTCTCAACCAACTACCGATGTACGGCCTTTGATAGGGCTTAGGATATAAATATTTACGAAATATTTCCGGATGATGTAAGGCTAGGTATGACAAAACAGATTCTACAGTTTGCTGAGTAAGTGTAGCAGTTGGAGAAACTGAAGACCCTGATTTTACTCCTGGTGTAACTGGTAAAACTCCACCTGGGAATCCAGCATTTGCTGGCTGTGTGACAGATGGAGTACCCCCAGGGAAAGAAGCAACAATTATGTTGTCTGATGGTGAGCTGATACCGGGTACAATTCCTTTCCCTGGGGGAACAGTAGGAAAATAACCTGGAAATCCATATTGCGGACGATATGATGGGAAGATTCCAACAACTGAAGATGCTGGTTGGATATTTGAGTTTCGAGTTCCAGCTGCAAAATCTTCACCCCCTGTATTTTCTGTACTTACAGTAACTGTACTTTGAACAGGTGTTGGTACTTGAGATGAATCAGATGTAGCTATTGCATTTGGACCCATTTGAGTGACTTGAACAGAATCACCAGGCACCACATTAGTATATCCCATCCCAGAATTCATTCCATTCGGATCGGTTAACTCCATTTGAATCTGTCCGTATGTAGCACATAATGTTATGGAATTAACAAATATTTGAAAAATAAAGTTAACTGTCAATTTTCGAATGATATAAACAACTTTCATCTTGATGTTTAGTGGAAATAGTACTTTATTTTAAATGAAGTGAATTTATGAGCTCTAATCAGTGAATAAATTATTTAGCCCATAATTTAAGTGATTGTGATCAGTGTTTATACGATCCATCACATTTGAGATTGGTTGAATGATATATTGATCACAGTTCATATTGATTTCATTGTTAATTTAAGTCATTTTCCTAATATTATACTCAAAAATGGAGATTTTGATTGTTCAAACAGGAGGTGAAGTCAAATTAAATTGTAACTGATACGCTTCCAGGTACAATAGATAAGTGTTATCCTAAAAATATTGGGGGTTATGCCTTTGAAATTGGCAATAGTTATGCCATGGAGATTTGCAGTAGATATACATTGCCGGATTACATAAAATTTCAGCTCACCAAACCATTTTTAAAGGATAGCTTAGAAATTTCAATGGAAGATAGATCCGAACTTATTAATTTATTGATTGATACTCAGTTTGAGAAGGTGACATCCAAATAAGCAGTTAATAATTTTTCTGGTTATTGAAGATACTTATCACTCATGGAACGGATACAATGATTGAAACAGCACAGTATTTAACTAATTATGAAGAGAAACTTAAAAACAAATGTATTGTGATAACAGGTACATTGTCTAGTTTATTTTTTTGACGAACGTATTGAAAAGATTTTCTCCGTTGATTAACTCGGAGAATGTTTCCTTTTTTCTGCAAACAAGTGATTTTTGACATGTGCGTGATATATAAAGTTATTCAGGGATTGTGTTTCAGTTAGTGACCCTTATCAACTTCACATTCTATCTAAGTTTGCTAGAATATAATCATTTTAATAATTATTAGCATAAAATTATGATTTTCAGTCTAATGTGAGAAAAGGACATCAATATGATGAACATTCATGATTTACAACCCTTATTTACGCATATTCATAGAATGTAATATCTTTTTGCTATGGATGATGAAGTTTACCTAGCAATTACGGTTTTGTATTTGGCGTTGTGATTCATATTTATATTAATGAGAATGAGTGCCTTCATTAACAATGTGCTGCTAAAAGGAAGGATGTACTCGATGTCACATTGAGGGATAAGTCTTCGAAAACACCACAAAAGTTAAATAATTTGACTGTTCAGATTTTGAACCATACAGTCATGCCTCATGTACGAAATAGGACCTGTTTATGTAGGTGTCATTACCAAGGTTTGATTTGATAATTTCGAATAAATTGAGCATTGGGTTGATTGTTATAAATAAAAATAATATATTTGTAATATCCCAATGAGTAGAAAATTGGATTTTCTGACGTTTCGTGGCTTAGTGTAAGTCACTTCTTCAGAGAATAAATAACCAAATTAAATTAATCCAAGTTTAAATAGTACAACGGAACAAATCGACAAGCTCACAGAGTAAGATTTTTTAAACATTCGTCGCATTTGTTAGTAGATCGGAATAATAACTGGGTACTATATATATAATTCAAGCTTCTGCAATGTAATTCTGTCTTTCGTTTAAAAGTGACGATACATATTGACATTATACCTTATCTGTTCATTATCCATACAAGTATGTAGTGTCAAAGTGTGATTTAAATGCAGGGTAGTAGCTGACATTTATTATTTTTTAAAATCATACGTGCTCACTGGTATCCAAGGCGTTGAGATTTCTTCTCATTTTGCTAAATGGCTCATCTCTTAGGAATAGTAATTTTGAATTTCTCTTCTTTGATAACTGAACTGTTAATTATAGATTGCATTGGATTTAAGATCAGTTATTTTAATAACTTAAACAAGTGTACTAATGTGGTAAATCAATTTCACATGCGATGTCTCTTGATTTTCCACCAATATGGTCACTTCAGTCATGATTTGACAAAAATGTACATCCCCTATAATCGCCCCACCATCATCAGTAAAATAAAGTCAATAAGATACCTAGAGAGAGTAACAAATAATAACAGTACCAGTCATACTGTTGTGCTGTTTCAAATATATATATTTATACATCGAGTTATTTGCAGAGTGACTGCTAATCATAAGAAATAAACTACCGTTTCTTTTGTAGAATCACATTTATTGAGATCTGTAGTTTGTTCGCTTAAACTGCATTAATTTAAGTAAACCTAATCAGTGCTGGAGAGCAGTACTGGTGAATTGACAACATGAGTGAAGTGTAAAACCCATACAGACTTAATTCTCTAGTAGCATTGTAAAAGAAACAAGCGACAAAACCCAGTCATATTAATTCTCAAGAAGTCCCATTTGTATACTCTTCACTTGATTTAGTCTTCGAGTTTTTAAAAAGTAATCTAAAATTTCTTAACTCGATTTACGTTACTAAAATCTACAACTTTTCGATCTAGGTGCTTTTCGACCCGGTGTATTCAAAAATACAGATGCCGACTTCAACGTAGCATTTGCAATTGGTGGACTGATAATGTCAAAGAAGCCAGGAATTTTCATAGCAATGCATGGTCAGTTCTACCAGCCAAGTGAAGTTGTTCGTGATGGAGAAACAGGGACTTTTATTCCAATCGGAAATGAAAAGTGAGAGCCATCAGAGCATAACCTAGTATACAATTGTTAGATTCTAGTCAAACGTTCACCAGAGAAATCAACTTGCTACTGTTTTCATTTAAAACAGCATAGATTGATTATGAACAGCGAACTATCAATACAAGTTTGAGAATTCTAGATGCACCTAACGAGATAATACATTTGTTTTTTTTACTTTGTATTATTACTATCTTTCTTGATGCTTCCATTTAAGGATATTTCTTAAAATCTGCTATTATCAGCATGGAAATTTCTCGAGATTTTATGGGATAGTTGTCAAGAAGCAACATTCTGTGTTTTCGTCGCTTGGTTTTTTTAACCTCTAGTTTGAGATCGAAATCACTTTTCATCTATAGATTTATTCTCAAATAGATATTTTTTGACATCAAAAGGCCCAAAGTAACTTCTCGCATGATTCAGATAGGAATAATGCTTAGGAAACCTGAGTAAAAATGACTATTCTTAAAATTTGAAATGGTACTTCAAACAGCAGTAACTGGAATCACTGAACAGAATGTGGTTGGTAACTTAAAATAAATACATTTCTATCGGCAAAGATTAACATGCGTCCATAGCCTCGGTGAAACGCTTGACCTAAAACCAATCTTGAAAATGTAATTATAGCTTTAGCTATCGAGACAAACGACAATAGGTCACAATACTCAACTATTTGTTTTAAAGCATCAACAACAACTACATTAACTTGTTCATAAACGAGGTCAAAAAAAACAAAAGCCAATGGTGAAGTGCGATGCATATCATGTATTCCATACAAAACTCGACACTTAAATGAATCGAAGAAAACCGTGATAGTGAATAACTGGCGATGCAATTAAAAAAAGAATGAAACAAACTGGAAATCATCTATCATAATTTCGAAAATAGATTGAGTTTTAGATTTCGAAAGCGAACAAGCATAAGCATAACAAACAAGCAAAAACAGTTGGAAAGTTTAAGACAACTAGTGGTTAGTGAAGTAAAGGGATGAAACTGAACAACGAGGTGGACAGAAAAAGGAACAGGAAAAATTAAGACGGAAGAAACAAATATGAGTGTAACATCCAAACGGTAACAGAGGTGACGTTAAAGTATCTCGAATAAATAGTGATGATATTAGGGGATCAATAGCAATGTACTTAGAAAAAAACCTCCAACCGAACAATGTGCATGAAATTTTAAATATGTATGATTTCGTGACGTATGCAAACTAACACGTATGAATTCCATGATACTTACTTTGAAAGTGGCGTTGATGTCTGTCATAAATAAGAGAATCTTGTTCATGTCATAAAAAAGTTACATAGCTTTGCAGAAGTCGGAAGACCTCAGAAAAATGACAGATACAATATCACAGGCTATTTGAGAAAGCAAAGATGAATTTAGTTTTGAGATGATGTGTTCTGAAGGCAGATTTTGAATAAATTTGAATACTTTTTAGTTTATACACGCAATAAAATAAAACTAAGTTGGATGTAATTATATTATGGTTTGTTTGTGTATAGAGGCACTGGAAAATCGCAATATGGATGAATATGAAAGATTAGTACATTTCCAGGATAATTCCAAGCAAAAAGGTGCAACGGGTGACAAAGGATGATAACTATGAAACTCAAGTCAAGAATAAATCACAAAAATCATTCTGGATGAAGTAAGCAGGTACATAATAATAGTAGTAATAATAAATAATATCAAACACAACATTAACTAAAGTCAGTCGGAGAGAAAGACTATAAGGAAGACAAGCGAACGTTTGGTACGACCGGTCCGACATAAAAATATGACTGAAATAACTGACAACAAATGAAAAAAATGACATTTATAGGTAGCTTTGGGTTCACAATGAAATGGGTGCATTTGTTTCATTTGTATGATGATTACGTGGAATTATTTAAATATGAATGTGAATGTCGTAAATACGAATGGTCGAGTTTCCTATTATCTTATTTAACTGTGAAGAATAAAGGATGAGCAAACGTGGTAAAAAAACGATGACGATAATAATGATGAACGTCACGTCAAAAATGAAGACAAAACATGGCACAACACATGGTTCCATGTATAAAGAAAGAGATATAACAACTCTGTGACTTAAAATTCTTATTCTCCTTTGTAGAAGGCACACGAACAACAATACGTTGAAATAATATAGCAATATTAATAATTGGAAAGACAAGAAAAACGGGAAAATCTAAACCAAAATAAAAACACGAAATAAAAAAGCACTACTCACAATTATTTTTGAATTGCAAAGCCGAATAGTCATAATGTAGATGAGGATGTGCGTTGAGAGAAAAAGCAAGTTAAATTTTACATTAAGATAGGTGAGTGATGATGCAATGACAACAAAGACAATGGAGTCGAGGTATTTTTTAGTGAGTATAGTATAAACCAAGTAGTAATAAATTCAAGGTTAAGTGCCACAGAAACATTTACACACACAAAGTTAGATGCCTATAAATGTTATAAATTCCATAAACTATTCGTTCGACTAGTGTCATTATTTATGGAAGCTGTACTACAACAAATTCCGTTCTTTTTATTATGCTCTTCACCTACACTCCCATCCGAAACTCGGCGAGGTATTAAACCATTAGCAGAACTATCAGTGACCACGCCATTCCGTTTAAGTGGTATTGAAATATTGGATATAGGAGATACAGCTCGAATCCCCAGAACAGGAGACTGGGTGGAACTTTTCGGATTTAATCTTTCACATGAAGTGATAGAATATAAACCTGTGGTTATATCTAAATTATGGCTTTCTACCGATCCACGAACCGTCGGATCAGATGAGGCGCAAAGTGAATCTTGTACGTTCAACTCTTTAATTACTGGAATGACCTCAATATTATTGTTAATACTGTTGCACGTTGTAACGGTTAAATGATTTGCGCGTGCGTGTGAATTCATACTAACAGGTTGGTACGAAGAGAATGAAGATCGCCTATGCGTGTAGATCTGACTGGGTTGAGAAGGGACACAATTCTGTATGGATGCTGCCGCAAGATTTCGAAAGTTGTGCAATGAAAGATCGTTAGAATGAAAACTGTTTGACAAAACTGGAGATTGCTGACCACCCGAGTCAAGGTTCGTAAATGATTTGCCTAATCCACTTAACGTATTGGAATTTACAGTAAAATGATTGTTTGAAGATGAATTAATCATCGGTGAAGAATTAATGCATCCAGTTAAGCTGGACATCGAAATAAAACCATATAGGCTCAATACATCCATGGCATTAGCAATCTCGTCTGTTGCTACGTCAGAATACCCAGCACTTTTTAAAACACTACGTATCCCCTCAAGACCCATACCAGAATTAGGTGAAGAGATAGGTCTGGGTGGTCCATAAGTCGGCGAAATCCTAGCATTATAATGTGTCGCGACAGATCCTAAAAGGCTATGAGGGGAATGAGTAATAGTTTGGTGGTTACTTGAATGTGTACTAGCCACACCACGACCCATCAATGCTCGACCACCATTTGGAACTAATGCAGACGATGACTTGGCGTTTGGAGAACAGGCAGCAACTGCACTCATAGCAGCCATAGCAGCAGCAACAGCTGGAGAGGAACTTCCGCCGAAAATGGATCCAGAAGCTGGATTCGAGGTAGTTGGGCTTACAGGCGAAAGAGAATTAATATGAGGAGGTGAAAAGCTGGAATTTGAGCCTGATGCTGCTCTGAAATGCATATCTGAACCAAAACCCATTCCGCATGCAGGTAATCCTGGATGCGAGCCAACCGCTAAAGCATAAGGTGAGCCGGTGGGATAAGCACTTGCTACTGGTCCGATTATCTCGGAGTAAGATATATTTGGACAGCTGGACGATTGGGGATCCTCAGCAATCTTGCTTAAAATCAATGCTACAGCATCGCGTGTTTGCGAGAGTTCACCTGAATAAATTCGGATAAAAATTTATCAAGATCAATGGTAGGAAACCATATTTGAACAAAAGATTTTAACAAAATTTATTTTAAAATTATCTTGGAATTTATTCCAGATTTTGGAACTGAACACAAAACTAAAAAGATCATAACACTGATTTATACTGCACCACTGTTGACAATAACTCCGCCTGTAGCTCTTCTAGAGTTACTGCCGGTTCCAAGCCCGGGGTAAAGGAGGAGGGTTGGGAATGGGGTTAGCGACCCCATCCCGTAGAAAACTAACTCGCTAAAAAACGCTTACCAGAAAAAAATAATTCAAACCATTTAAACTCTGTACTGGAATTTAGAAGGTCTTCATTTAGAAGAAATATGTCGCCTCGTGGGGAAAGCCGAGTTCCCTCGGAAGCCACGAGGCCGATGCCCCTTCTAAAAACCAGAGCAACAATTTTTATAGGTACATGGAACGTCCGGACAATGTGGGAGACCGGGAGGACCAGTCAAATAGCAACGGAAATGAGGAGATACAACTTGGCAGTACTGGGAATCAGCGAAACCCATTGGACCCAAACTGGACAACAAAGGCTAAATACGGGAAAGATGCTGCTGTACTCCGGTCACGAAGAGGAAAATGCTTCACACACTCAGGGAGTCGCTCTAATGTTGTTCAAAGTAGCACGAAATGCACTTGTAGGATGCCAATCTCACGGATCCAGAATCATCAAAGCATCATTCAAAACAAAGAAGGAGGGGATCACAATGAATATTTTCCAATGTTATGCACTCACCAATGATAGCAACGACGATATTAAAGATCAATTCTATGAGAGGCTGCAATCAATCATAGAGAAGTGCCCAAGAAAGAAACCCCACCATTCTGATGGGAGATCTAAACGCCAAAGTCGGAATAGACAACATCGGATATGAAGATATCATGGGACGACGGGGACTGTGTAGCAGGAGTCTCTGCATCAGTAGGCCCCAACATACACAAGGGGAAAACCAAGGTCCTAAAATACAACACGGAGAACAGCAATCCAATCACTCTTGATGGCGAAACTCTGGAAGATGTAGAATTCTTCACATACCTGGGAAGCATCATCGATGAACAAGGAGGATCAGATGCAGACGTGAAGGCGAGGATTGGCAAAGCAAGGGCCACATTCCTTCAATTGAAGAACATATGGAACTCAAAACAACTTTCAACCAATATCAAAGTGAGAATCTTCAATACCAACGTCAAGGCAGTCAGTTCTACTGTACGGAGCTGAAACTTGGAGAACTACAACAACCATCATCAAGAAGGTACAAGTATTTATAAATAGCTGTCTACGCAAGATACTCAACATCGATTGGCCGGATACCATCAACAACAGACTTTTGTGGGAGAGAACAAACTACCTTCCAGCTGAAGAGGAAATTAGGAAAAGACGATGGAAATGGATACGAGATACACTACGCAAATCACCAAACTGCATCACGAGGTAAGCCCTAACTTGGAATCCTGAAAGGAAACGGAAAAGAGGAAGACCAAAGAACACTACGTCGGGAAACAAAAGCAGATATGGAAAGGATGAATAACAACTGGAAAGGATTGCCCAGGACAGGGTTGGATGGCGAATGCTGGTGAGCGGCCTATGCTCCTTCACGAGGATTAACAGGCGTAAGTAAGTACTGTTGACAAGACAGGGAGGAAATCAACATATGAAATGAAATATCAAAATTAGCCACAAGTTATTGTGTCGACAAAAAAGGACGTGGAGTACAAAAATTATATGCGACTGGTTCTGAGCTATATTAACATCTGACATGAAATATACTGGGGAATAATATCTCACACACATGTAGGTAAGCATAAGGAAAAATTCGGCATAGTATATAGGTAGAAATGCTTAAATGACCTGTAAGACTTTGATGAATACTGAGGTCTAAATGATCATAATATCGAGCATCGTTGGGATTTTGTAAACTTATTAATCTACTAAGTAATCTGAATTAAAGTGATACTAAAGCACGAAATCTTTGCTATTTTAAACAAATGGAACGACCGAATTTACTAACAACCATTTATTAGTAAATTAGTGATAGTTTCACGTCTATGAATTTGTTCAAACGCAATCTAAGATACCAACATTTGAGACACACATCATCACTTATTGATTAGAAACCAAAAAACGGCGTCTGATTAGTAAGAACGCACTACGAGCGATGATTCGATGCTTTAATAACTCAATTTCCAGATAGTGAGACAAATATTTGAACCTTAATAAGTCTTTTACCGAATCGACAGTGAACCACACTGAAATCGTAAGCTTTATAGCTTTATGTAGGAACTTTATGACTCCTTACTTATAAAAATTATTACCAAAGCGTATTTGTTATTTTTATGTGGTGATCTTATCTCCCCAGTAAAGATGCATTCAACCGTTTTTCTAGGTCTCGTTACTGCAAAGCCCAGTTGTAATGTGGTACGACGAAAAGCAATAGGTTTTATTAACCAAAATACAGAAAAATAACTTCAGTTTTGTAAGATTTATTTTGCTGCTTATCTTAGTGTTCAATGGTCGTAAGATAGCTTCAATGCATAATTAAGACATTCCGAGTTCGACCTATCACTTTTGATAGTTTTTAAAAAATATCATATTTGTTTAGCTACAGACTTTCTAACTGCATTGAACGTGAAGGATAGATGAAGAACCTAGAAACCGGAAGGTAGCTGGAGATCACTTAGAATGTTATCTAGTGTTTTGCTCATAGCTTCAATCACTTTAGCTGAGAGTGAATCATTGTTTCAGCTTTTTCTAAAATAGCTTCATGAACACTTGACTTTCTTAATGCCTGTTTCACCGATAAGTCTGAAAAACTGTTTATAATTACCTATTCCTGCTGAATATTCCAACTTTTTGCTTTATTTGTCCACCATTGTTTACGATCTTTTCCCAGTCTACGTTTAAGTCGGCTTTGGTTCGCAATGTATTCGGAGTTTAAAGGGAAAATTTTATGGATAGCTCATTAGACCACTTAAATTATTAGGTTTTTGTGAACTTTTCGGTTTAAGTTACTGACAGATGTCATCTCTATTTTTACAGCTGTTCGGATATCATGCCAAGCTAAATCAGAGTGAATAGCACCTACACAACTGATTAAGAGGTTCTCTAGTTCTTGAAATATACTCTTGGCTTCTTTATTGTTCAGCTGAACTCTAAGATGCATCCTTGTGGGATCCTTTATGGGTGCAATAAAACGCAGGTTAAATCGTGCATGCGATGGAGCACCATTAGAGGTTAAGGGGGCCTACTTTTACGAAGTCGTAAGTCCAAACCCCATTCCCCTACTTTGGTTTGTACAACCGAGTAGTACGACTGATCCTTACAATTAGAGTGTGGTTCAAAGTCATGTACGTATAGTAGCTATACCTGATGAGTATAATAATAATAATAATAATAATAATAATAATAATAATAATAATAATAATAATAGTCTAAAAAGTGCTCAATAACAAATGGTAGTTTACTACCAAGCCACTCCAGCAATGGCTGATGACGATACGGTCCATTTGCATCAATCGTTGAGCTAATTTTAAGTGTCATCATGTCAGACGATATCTTTTGCTATGTTTAACGTTGGTGGTTGCTAAAAACACCGTCGGTTACCGTTGTCTATTCGCTGAGTTAAGACAATGTGAGGCCCAAATAAATGTCTTATACTTTGGTTTAAACTACGTCCTTGGGAATTGGAGTACCATGATACTATGGGGTCCGAGAGAACGGCTATTTTGGGGGAGTAGAAAGTCTCCGTGGCACTGCAGTGGGATCGTCAACAGAGACCTGTCTGTTTATCCTTCTGAGTTCGCAATGTCAGACAATGCACGAGGGACTAATCTTTGAACTTAGTCCTATGCCTATGATATCGAGGCTAGGAAAGGCAGTAGTCGAGCCCCAAGATATACGGAAGAAAAATCGCTCGGACCCTTTAAACTGACCAGATAGTCAAGTGAACGACGACAGTCAGATCCTGTACCCAAGCTTCGTAGACGAAGCATATATCCATAGTAGAGGATTTTACAGTTATAGCTAATAAAGCTTTTTGTCCGACTTGATGTAAGGTTATAACAACGAAAACTCCAACATGTGGTTTAGGGCGTGAATTCAGGAGACCAGAAATAACACTTCGTGAAATCAAATAGTTAGCACTGGTGGTGAATAAGAATAGATATGAAACCATAGGAGTTGATAGTAAGGGTAGAAGGAATATTTAATGATTATGAACAAAACGATCTCGAGTGCTCTTAATGATGTGTGAGTAATTCACTTGATGTTGCTTATTTGTATCTTCCCATTGTTATTTAGGACTGTAATTGGTCAGTCTCTTATTTGCATATGTGCATCCTGCCTCGATATTGCCTTAATTCACAAGTCCCAAAAAAGACGAAACGCGCGTCCTGTATTCCACTGCTAGCCACTATCTATCTTTGCTTATGAAGCTTGTGAACCAAGACAATATCAAGGCAGTCCGTACAGGATGCACATATGCCAATAAGAGACTGACCAATTACAGTCCTAATTAACACTGGAAATATACAAGTAAACAACATCAAACGAATCAATGAGTAGTAATATTTCAAGTCAATATTAGCATAACAATTGCGGCCATGTATTATTATCGACATAATAATACGCTAAGACATTTTTTCTATGCTTTAGATGTATTTCACTTTGATATGATGCTACATATATGCATGGCTAATTCGCGTACAGTTTATTACTGACATGTATATTGCTGAACTTAAGAAATCGACTGAAAATAATATCAGGCAAAAATACAGCTCGAATAGGTCATGTATTGTAATAAATAATTTTAACTTACTATCTACCATATAACAAGAATTAATAGATTTACCTGCGACAGTAACGCATCTTTCAGCCAAGTTAAGCTCCTTAGACTTTTGAGATACTTGAATGAATACCCCAGTTGTATCCTTCAACTCCTTGATAAAGCTACCACCCTTTCCTATTATCATTCCAGCTGTGCTGTTAGGGACCAAAATCTTGACCTAAAATAAAACCAAACGTAATCAGGCAATGCAGTGCCATATGCGATGAGAGTGAGTTTTACTATAATAGTCCAATAATAGGAATAAAAATAAATAAAAAAACAAAAGTGAAGTGTTTCTTACGATCCCTATGTTCGTGAACATTAATACCGGTCAAAAGTCATTTTATAAGATCTAGTAAGTGATATTGGTCAGCCTAATATATTTCTGGTCTGACATACGGGAAGAATACGAGTCAGTTGAGATTTAATCAGCTACAATGAACTGGTCCCGATCGAAGCTGCTACCTTGACGCGGTGGTCGGGCACGCCTATCGTGATGACCCAACCGAGCTATATTGGCTGGAACATATGTTCCTGCAGGTTCTACCATGCCAGGCAGGTCGATTGGTGAACGGTAAGACTAAAAACAGCAACTCAAGGTCTGAGGGCGAAGTCGTACTGCTGACTGTAGAGAGGTGTGACAGCAGTAAGGTGTTTCCCTCGGACAACCAGCATGACAACGATGCTGCCTTCTCACAAGGACGGGTGGGGTTAGAAAAGGTCAAGCTAAGAGTATATTTCAGGAACAACTAGGAAAACAGTTAAGCAGCCATGTATGTGATGCCCACACCGATGCAGCATGGAATGATATCCGAAAAGCTGTGGAAACAGCAGAGATATCTCCTAGTAAGGAAAACCAGAAGGTTAGGGAGCAACACTGGATCTCAGCAGCATCTATCTCACTGATAGATGCTCGGAAACTCATTCCACCTGGCTCTGAACATAATGAAGAGCGGAGTCAACTTAGGCGCAAGCTGATAAGAAGTCTATGCAATGATCGTGAACAGTGGTGGGTAGCGAAAGCAAGAGAGATGGAAAAGGCAGCGGCAATAGGTAATAGCAGACAATTGTTCAGACTCGTTAAGGAAACCGGAATTACGAACCCGACCGTTAGCGATACAATCTCAGAGAAAGATGGACATATTATTCATTCTCAATCCAGGAGATTGGACCGATTGGCAGAACACTTTATGGACCAGTTCAACTGGCCTTCAGCCACACTCCGGTTTCCCACGATCTCCAGTCAACCTGAGTGGCAAGTTAATGTAGGTCCTCCGTCCCTTTACGAAGTTGAAAAAGCCATAGGAAATCTGAAACGAGGGAGAGCAGCAGGCCCTGACAGGTTTACTCCTGAGATTTTTAAGGATGGTGGTCCAGAATTAGCAGTGAGATTAACTGAGGTCTTAGGTAGAATTTGGGAACTGGACGTAATCCCATCTGATTGGTCTCAATCACTGATTGTGCCAGTCTATAAGAAAGGACAAAAGTCCTCTTGTGACAATCACAGAGGAATCAGTTTGACTAATATAGTGTCTAAAATATTAGCTTCAATAATACTTCGACGCCTAATCAAAGCTCGTGAAGAGCAGATTAGAGAAAACCAGGCTGGTTTACGACCTGGACGTGGTTGTATAGATCAGATATAAACACTACGTCAGGTTCTAGAACATAGACACACATTCAGACGCCCCACAATAGTAGTATTTTTCGACCTTAAGGCGGCATTCGACTCTATTGATCGTAAGGTTCTATGGCAGTGTTTGTCACTGAAAGGAGTACCAAAGAAGTACATTAACCTTATAAAGGCTCTCTACTCGAACACAACTGGTAGAGTGAGAGCTTATGGCGAACTGTCATCAGAATTGATTACCTTAAGTGGTGTTCGTCAGGGCTGTCCACTCTCCCCATTCTTGGTCAACAAGCATGTTCGGGATGCGATTCTCTCCCTCGAAATGCAAAATGTTGCTTCAGGATTGGGTTACATCGACACCTGAACTAGTGATAGGGAGTGAAGTAGTTGAGTGTGTCGACCGCTTCACTTATCTTGGAAGTCTCATCAGCCCTTGTGGTTTAGTGTGTGACGAAATTTCAGCACGGATACAGAAGGCTCGACTAGCTTTTGCCAACTTGCGTCATTTATGGCGTAGGCGAGATGTCCGTCTATCAACCAAAGGACGTGTTTACTGCGCAGCAGTTCCTTCCGTCCTACTTTATGGCAGTGAAACATGGCCGGTAAGAGTAGAGGATATCCGAAGGTTACTAGTATTTGATAATAGGTGTCTTCGAAACATTGCTCGTATATCATGGGACCATCGAGTAAGTAACACAGTTGTTAGGAAACGGGTACTAGGTAAGGATGGCAAATCAATTGATGAAGTAGTGAAACTTCATCAGTTGAGATGGCTGGGACACGTGTTACGTATGCCCAACCACCGACTGCCTCGACGTGCGATGTTCAGTGGTATAGAAGTAGGTTGGAAGAAAGCTAGGGGCGGCCAGACCAAAACATGGCACAAGTCCATGAAGTCACTGACAAGTGAACTGAGTCATGTTGGTAGATGTAGACTATCTGGTTGGGGACCGCGAGATGATAGCAACCGATGGTTAGAGACCTTGAATGACATGGCTCAAAATCGTTTGCAATGGCGCAGGTGCATCCACTCATTGTGTTCTCCCAAATTCTAATCTTCTGAATTCTTCATGTCCCTTTTTTCCTCTTTCCAAATTTATTTCACTGGATTATACTCTTTAAATAACATCTCCAAACCCTAATCTTCCCGATTACTGCTTATACTCTTATTACCTCTACCACTACGGTATTTGAATCGACCACTGCATCTCTGTGCTAATGTGGTGTGGCAACTCGAACTGATGTACGTACGTACGAAGTTCTACGTTGTTACTGACTGACTGACTGACAATGAACTGGTCAATTAATGTCTATTTCAATATACTATCTACCATCAGGTACAACATCAACTGCAGTTGTAAGTTGACGAATAATCTGGTATAACCAAACTAATAAATAGCATGTAGATCAATGGTTCAATAGTTAAGGCGTCCGGTTTTTAACGATATCCCAGTTCCGAACCCCTTTGAGCCTATTGCGATTTGAACAATAAGATGGTACTACTAGCGCTCATACTTAAAATGTAGCTTACATCCAACGATCAGGTGAGTGAATGATTTATTATTTATTCAAACATCACCGTGTGAAATTCAATCTTAAAATAGTTTAATCCAATACCGAAATACAAGTTAATGTTTTTCGTTATCGCTTAAACATTCTAGGTGAGGGTGACTGTTATCCAAATGAAAGTAGATAGAGTGGAACTTGGAGTTCTTATCAGAGAAGGTTTTCTCAATGGTAAGATTTGGCCGCATTCCTAATAAACAGAAATATTGTTTTAAACAGTTACGGAACCCCACACCTTTTTAACTGGTATATAAGAAATTAGAGAGAAATCGGTGGTTAGAGCCCTAACAGGATGTGGCTTGAAATCAATCAACATTTTTACCTTGGATTTTTGTTTAAGAGATTACTCTTCACTTGAATACACCTAGCAACTCGCAGTAGCTAACAAAACAGTAATGTTCAGAAAGTAAAGTGTTGATTCCCATTCCCATGAGAATGTAGTCTTACAGTAAAACATGGATATAACTTCGGAGAATTTGGTAAGGCAAAAAGATTGGAGAATGCGTGAGAAAACAGAGAACACATATTAAGGTTATAAATCACATATAACTAACTTAAGTGTATCAGTAAACTACAACTCAGAATTCATTAAATTATGTTACTAAATGAACACAAAACAATGGTTTTAAAACTAGAAAACAGATTTACTGTGTGTTCTTGAAGCTGTATGTTTAACATGCATAAAAAAATTAAAGGATCAGTTTATCAACAGTGAATAAAACAATATAATTACTTGTTTATGTCTCTCAGTAAGTACTCGTCCTTCACTACCTGTTTTCGGTACAGATTCTGGTTTTTCGTATATTTTCTCGGAAATATACTGAAAAACACGTAATATACTCTCGATGGTTCCAACAATTAAACAAACTCGCTCAGTTGTTCCTAAAACCAAACCAGGTTATGAGTAAAACTGGAAACCATAGATGTACCGGGATAAAATGCATTAGCTTTGGACATTTTTACTTTCGCTGAGGTTTGGTTTTGAATTTCTGTTATTGCTTCACCTCCTTTCCCGATGATTGCACCAGCAGCAATTGAAGGTACCAGTATTTTGAAATGTACATTACCTGAAAATCGAATGAGTGATATGCTTCAGGTTTATTTTGATAATGTGAATTTAAAGAATATACAGGACTACCCGTTTGCTACTTTGATGACAGAAAAACAAGTTTAACGATGACTTAGAAACATTCTAAACCGCTGTAAGCAAATACAATATAGTTTTGGGAGCTAGCCGAATGTCAGTATTTCGTGAAATAAATTGTCGGGAGCGACACAAGATGGATTAGTAATGGTCGATATTTCCTTATATAAGTCTACAAATTAGTAACTGCATAACACAATACCCTCACTCACTAGTGACTTCTATGTTAAGTAGTGTGACCAAAGGACAGTAAGAGCTATTTTGATCTGCAACGTCTCCATGTAAGGTGTTTTTTTCCGCGTTTGTTGAATACATCTACTTTCGAAATTGATTTGGCATATCCCATCAAGCCACTGGTAGCTGTTGCTAATCTTAAACCAAAGTTTCTAACGACTGGCCGAAATTTTTACGTTTATTAAGATAGTCGGGTGTATTGACTTGGGTGAGATGAGAAGAGTTGAAAATGTTTTGTCAGCCAAAACTATACCCGAAACTTTGTTCTGGAGCAGAACGTAGGCTTCATAGTTTCACATACAAAGTCAAAAGCAGTTAAGGACTTGGTATTTTTCATAGTGTTACATTCCCATTTCAGTTTGAAAAGAACAGGAGTCTGGGTGGTTTCCCAGTTGATCCAACTTTCTTTTGAAAGCATCGACAGACGGAGCTTAAATCACGTGCTAAGCTAGTGAATTCCATTCGTTTATGATTCGACGGGAACGTCGATAGTCACCTGACAAGTCATTTGTTCTGGGCTTGTGAACTTTGAGAGTCAACACTAGATAGTTTTTAGAATTTATTGAAAAGTGTAAAACATGAAACCGGAAAAAACGAATCTATTGTAATATACTACACGAAGAACAAAGGTATAATAGGATTTCAAATATACAACTACTAAGGCTGTACAATTCTCAAGCAAATGTAGATGAATAGCATTAGCACACCTTTAGCAGGCTTTAGAATTATAGCATCTGATATTTTAGGTGGGGATTCTCCTTTAAGCTGAGGAGAGTCGTTACTGACTTCATCCAAAATAGCTTGACCTGTGCCGTCTTCTTTGGTCATTCTAGTGTCATTTTACTTGAAAACCGCACCCCAACTGTCAAGTCAGCAGAAAAATTCAATTGTTCACGAATCGACTACTTGTTCATTGAACACTATCTTCTTTAGTATAATTTAACGAGCCAGTGTAAATTAAATAACTTTCTTGAGCTTCGGCAAGAGGTCTTTGGTGATGCCTAGTGATGTGTCTAATTAATGTAAATTACAGAATAAATAAGCTATTCTAGTGCGAGACTAGTTCTTCAGGCACCAACTTTCTCTGAATATGTTGAGGCATATATGTATTAATGTATTACGTGATAGCTTATGGAGGATTGTTAAACATGCCAGAGAATCTGAATAATCCCGAGCTCATTTGCTACTATGGTGACGTACATTCCGTGTTTTTTGTAACAACAAAATAAAAACCACATTTTCTCTTTAATTTGTCACACTTTATATGTAACCACATTTTTATTCAATATCTGTTGTCTTTCTGCATCACTTGTTAAAAAACGATGATAATTGTTTCGATGAATGATATACGATTTTACTACCGCGTTGGTTAAAATATAAAATGCTATCTACGCCGTTTGTTCTTCTGCGCCATTGGCCACGGTTTTGATTGAAGACGATAATAGTGTTATAACATCCTTTTAGGCGCGGGTTATTATTATATAATACTATTGAAATCCGTCTTCCTCATTACACCATTTGTACAGTCACTTGCAGAGAAATCCCTGTCAGTCAAGTGAACTCAGTTTGTGGTTGTTGTTCTCACGAATCAGCTCACAAGTAATATTCATTCTATAATAACTGTTATTATCTGTCGGTTTAATATACCCTTTGTATTTCTAACTGTATTGTGTTACTTTCGGTTTTAATAACAGATAGACATCTAGGGTTTTTACTATTAACTTTCTTGGTATATTATTATTAAACTAGTATATCGATATACCTTTTATAAGCTCCTTTTGTTGGGAACCACCACAGTACGCTGAATAATGGATGACATATTCCATGCAAAAATCTTACAACAGTGATCGCAAACTAAGCATAATTCCTTAAACTACAGATCTTTCAACATTTAAACTCAGGCATATGAGATGATTCCGCTTCGAAACCAGGTTCAAAGGACTATTACAAGCAAAAACTGTATTTATCCTAACAACATGGGAACTTATAACTACTGTCTCTATTTACAAGAATGTCTTAGAATATATATCTATGGATTAATGTTTACAAACGATCGCAAAGTATTAAGTTCAGAGTACCGCTGATGTCGTTAGAAGTGAGGTTTTATTGCTTACAAACTTAGTTGTCGAGTTATTTCATCCCTTTACAAAACAAATTTCTATACTAAGTGCGGAACCGTTCTAGATACTGAAATCCTCTTTTATTATTCTATCTATTATTCAAAATAACTAGATTATTTCCACGAGTTTCATTTGACAGTGTAAGCGTTATTACTACTCAAAAACATATTCCTGTCATAGTGACCATAAACTAACTGTTTGTCATAACAGGAACAGCTTTCTGATGATTATTGACCCAAATATTTTCTAGTCACTAGGCCTAGTCAGAATTCATAATTGATTGTTGTCAGCCATTGCTAAATCAGCTGCCAACTTATTTAGTACATTATCCTCCTAAATTCTGCTTCTCAGCACCTATACAGATGTTTGGGTCAGCCCGCCTTAGAATAACTATTAAACGATAAATACTCGGTCGCTGAAAAAGAACGATAACTAGCATCACGTAAGATGTCTTTGAAAAAACTACTTGTAGAAGAATATTTTTACATGGAAATAAAAGATCAATTATATCCCAGAGTGTCTTGGCAACTACACTCAGGATATGCCCACTAAGAAAGATATTCGACCAAAATCCCGTCGTTTACCTAGCCCTGTATGTTCGTGCAACAGTGTTCTTATTGAAATCGTTACTTAATTACTTACTTACTTACTTACTTGTGCATGTTACCCCTCTTGGAGGAGCATAAGTCGCCCACCAGTAGTTTCTATCGAACTCAGTCCGGAGCGATCCCTCCCATTTGTTATTAGCCCCTTTCGCGCCTGTTTTTAGTTTCCAGCGCAGTGTTTTGTTTGGTCTTCCTTTTTTCCGTTTCCCTTCAAGACTCCATGTAAGCACTGACCTCGTGAGGCAGTTTGGTGAATTCCGTAATGCTTGCCCTATCCACTTCCATCGTCTTTTCTTAATTTTCTCTCATCTGGAGTCTGGTTTGTTCTCTCCTACAGTTGACTGTAGCTGATGATGTCAGGCCAACAGATATTGAACATCTTGCGTAGACAAGTGTTTGTAAACACTTGTAGTTTTTTGTGGTGATTATGTTAGTTCTTCAAGTTTCAGCTCCGTACAGTAGAGCTGTCTTGAAGTTCTCATTTAAGACTTTGATATTGGTCGACAGTTGTTTTGAGTTCCATATTCTGTTCAACTGTAGGAATATTGTCTTTCTTTGGCAATCCCAGCCGTGTGTATCCAGTCCTCCCCTGTTCATCGATGATGCTGCCCAAGTATGTGGACGTTTCCACCTGATCCAAAGATCCTCCACCAAGTTTAAAATCGTTAGATTACGCAAAATTTCATGCATGCGAAGTAATACCAAGATATGTGTCTCGATGATCAGGAAATCTCTACCAGCATGTAATCGATGGGATACTTTATCTAAACGTAAAACTAACGAACCAAAGTTTACTCGGTTAGAACAAACTACGTTCTTCTTTATGGCGTATTAAGTGTTTTTGGGCTGCTAATATTAAATTATATCAAAACACAAACTCTGCAACAAATTTAGACGGTTCTAATTTAGGAAAGAAAACGAATTATATCAAAAGTACAAAATACGGTACAGGCTGTACTATGCAGTCAAAGGTCACTCGAGCAGAAAATAATGCGCTGAGAATCAACAAGAGTAGTCCCAACAAAATGGAATTAAATATTTATCGACACGGATGTGAGTAGCCGTCTCCAACAGACAGTCAAAGGTTGGCAATCAGTAACTGAGCCACGCCGTTACCCTGAATGTAATCAAACATGACTCCATTGTCAATGGCTCGGCAACACAGAACAGTAAGTTTTTATAACAAAGGCCAATCTTTATCTGAAGTCAAATAATAAAAGTCCAGACAAGGAATAATGAAGAGCACAAAATATGGTTAAGAGGAGACCTCAGTAAAGTTTAAAATACAAGACAGTGGAGGGAACAAAGAAATAACAATGCCGGTCAACAAAACACTTTTGAGGGATTTGCAGATTATCATTTCCGTTACACCGGCCACCAAAATCTCTCTAACTACGTAAAGGCACTTCCGAATACACTCAGTAATGGCTCTCCTAGCCAACTTGTTTGTTTCAGTGCGTAGCGCAGGATTACATCAACACGCCTGTACGCCCATGAAGTTAACTTGCAACCAGCCGTTATGCATTTTCCTCCAGAAGACAAGGCAAATTTTTTCGTTTACAGTAAAACTACAGCTGCCTACTTGACTTAGTAGTGCTGTTTTCTTACCACTCACGATAATGTTTTTTTCCAGTCAAAGCTGACTATAAACCAACAAGGGTTAATGACAAATTTCAGCGAATAGAATAATATTCTGTTCGTAATTGTACATATTTATAGGTAAGCAATTCACATGTGTTTCTGAACTCACCCCAAAATGTTTGATATTTTGAGTGATATCAACTTTGAATGAATTTCTGATCTTTGATAATGTCTTCCATTAACTTGTACCCTGTCACAACGATTTTTATTCTTTCTTTGGCAAGTGTATATAATAAGTGTCGCATGAAATTGTTATATCTTGTGGACTTGTGTCCTGTTAATACATAAAGTGATGATGCCGCCAACTAGAGAACAGTGCCTTATCGGCCGGACTAATGACGCATAAACCCGTACGAGCTGTCTAGAGTCCTTATCAGTCCCGCTTCCTACCTAGCCCAGCCAGTTAAGTCTAGAACATCAATCTCAGCCTCTGCGATATGAATCATGTATCTCAAACATACTGGGTTTATACACAAACCAAACAGACAACACTGTATCATAAAACAGAAAATAACATTTGTAAAAGATCTAGTCAAAAGTTGTTGCGAATGTGGGAGACTGGTACTAATAGACTGATCATAACTCAAGAAGGGCAAATCGTATAATAATAGTTTATAGATAAAAACAAAGCTTGTAACAAGAGGAACATGAATATGTATAGTTAAGCTATTTAGTAATTATACAATAAAAATATATTTGTCGTATTGTTCCATAAACAGTTCCCAAAAATTGTCATTAATATACCAGAAATATCTATAACCTTTTGTAGGGAAATACTGATCACATAGTTTCCCCAAACGTTTGTCCTTGTGCTTGAAATAACTTTTAGTTTCTGTCACAAAGATCATTTTACTGTTCCTGAGTAAGATTTAGAATTGCAACTGACCTTAAATTCCATGCGTTACTTCTGTAACACTGTTTAATTGTACAATATTCTGAAGTCTTTGTCCTTATTACCTTCCCACATACTTTTTAAGACATCCTTACAAGTAATATGTGTAAGTCAGTGAAATTGATATTATCATTCATGAACTGAAGATCTAAATAGTTGAGATGGTGGAGATTTGTAGCTCAGGTGGATTATTTTGGTGGAGTTTTGTTCTCTGAGCTGGATGGTTTGGTCGTGGAGCTTTAAACGTTCTTCTGAACGACATCATCGATGAAAGCTCCACGACCAAACCATCCAGCTCAGAGAACAAAACTCCACCAAAATCTAAATAGTTACTACACATTTCACGCTTATACATAAATGAAGCGCTTTATGGCTGATGGTTACAGGGATACTGCAAAAGTTATGTTGACTTCCATTCTGTTAAACAGCTCATGTGTTTGCTATGGTTGAATTGAGGACACAAAGCTTTGGCACGCCGAAGTTACGCAACTATCAGTAAAGCATAATTAATCAGATACGGTTGTAACAAGAACAGATCTACTGTGCAACCAACGTTTGTACTACTGGATT